TTCAGATTAGTAATGTATGAGCTGAATTGAGAACCTGATTATAAATCATTGCAGCATGACATTTGGATAAAATATAAAGATAACCTGGGTTTATTTATGATATTCTGTCAAGGAAATTCATGAGAATTAGCTTTCTCATGACAGTTCTAATCATCACTTTTGACTAAATTAGAAAATACTATATTTCCACATGAAGAAAATTTGTTAAATATTTGATAATGTAATTTCAATATCAAGCTGAAATCAAGAGAGACAAAAGGTATTGCTATTATTTTTGAAACAGTGCGATATAATTGGGCATAGCCCAATTTGTACTACAACTACTTGGCAAGGTTTGCAAAGGTTCTGTCTGGGTCTCTGCCCACACAACATGCAGTCTGAGCGGCTGGGTGTGGGGCCCAGTGCTGCTGTTTATTTAGAAGTGGGCCAGGTGATTCTGCAGTCAAGACCGAGAACCACGTGGTGAGGGGAGGGAACTTAGGAAGGCGGCTGAGGAGGAGTAGCAGCCCCTGAGCTCCTGTCCTGAAGGGCTTGAAGTCTCTGTCAGGATTCATTGGGCACCAAAAAAGGAAATGGGGAACCATTCCTAAAGAAAAGACTCAGTGCAGCCGCGAGGAGGCGGAGGATGTTTCTTGAAGGGATTCTGTCTGGCTATGGAGGCTAAAAGTACCCAAGTGCTATGGGAGCTGTGGAAGTTGCCTCAACATTAAGCAGTGAAAGGAGAAACGTTATATATATATATATATATATATATGTTTGCTCTCTAGCGAGCATTCATTTGTACTTCTTTGGTGGAAGAACGTTCGTTTCATTACTTTGTTTTCATTTTTTTTTGCCTTTGTAGTCACCCTTCAGAACACATATCTTGAAGAAGGCATCTAACACAAATAGAGGAGGGTTAGTCAGACCACGGTTGCAGCTGTGGCTTGGTTTTCATTTATTCCCCCTTCCATTTTCAGCACACATTTATGGGCGGAGTGTGGGGGGTGGGATGATGACCAGCAAGATGAATGAGGTCGCTATTTACTAAACCCTGGATGGAGGCCAGCACAGTTGCCCATAAATAAATGTAGTTAATCTTTCCTCCTGCAGAGTATTAATCAATTTCACCATAAAATCCTCCAAGTGAGCATATCCTGTGTGTCGAAGGGCCTTTGACTGCCTGCGCTGGGCATCATCTCCTGGCCGCGAGTGGGTTAACTAACGAAAATTACATAGTATATATTTGAGAATTAGTGACCATGAAGCAGAAGTTATATCTGTATATCAGCTGACCTCTTGGTTTGGAACCGAGTAGTAACAAACAAGTGAGATGATGTGTAGTGACATTTAGCTGTCCTCTCGCACTCCACATACACTTCTACGTGTTTCCTATCTGAAATCTCTTCTACTCAGGGGTCTGTTGGCCACAGCAGTGAACTCCTGACAGCTTTACTACATTTATTTTAGGTAAACATTTCTTTCTTGTGGCTTCTCGAGGACTATTTGTTCTCTTGTTCTGAAGAGTCAGTATTTTTAGCTTAAAGGGGAAGAGAGGCATGAGCCACCACAGAAGTAAAATCCCAGGACTTTGGTGAGACCACATGGGCTCTGAACTAGCCGAAGGATGCAGGGCCTCTTCTCCCAGAGGCTTGAGTGATACCAGGCATGGAGACAGCAATGACTGAGGGAAGCAAAGTGAGCCGTGCAGCCTGTGAACCTGAAGGTCAGACAGCAGGGATGACTTTGTGTTGTCACCTGCTGGAGCTGAAACTGAACTGAGGAGGTGACAACAGGGAATATTAAATCGAAAACAGCTTAGGGATACAAGTTTTTCTGATCTTTATTTAAAAGCTTACACAGAGAGTTCAACTACCAGACAGCAACCAAACACTATTTTTGCACCCACCCATTGAGCAGTTTGCATAGTACTTTGAGATTTTAAGCTATTGTCTTCATGTTATTTTAAAATCTTGGGGGTGTTTCTTTCTTTTTTTTTTTTTTTTGACAGGTAGAGTTAGACAGTGAGAGAGAGCCAGAGAGAAAGGTCTTCCTTTTCCTGTTGGTTCACCCCCCAAATGGCCACTACAGCTGGTGTGCTGCGCCGATCAGAAGCCAGGAGCCAGGTGCTTCTCCTGGTCTCCCATGCGGGTGCAGGGCCCAAGCACTTGGGCCATTCTCCACTGCCTTTCCGGGCCACAGCAGAGAGCTGGACTGAAAGAGGAGCAACTGGGACAGAATCCAATGCCCCAACTGGGACTAGAACCGGTGTGCCGGCGCCACAGGCGGAAAATTAGCCTAGTGAGCCGCAGCGCCGGTCAAGGTGTGATTATTTCTACAACAGTGAATTGGTTAATATAGTATTCAGTCTCATGGGATGTGTCCATTAAATGTACCACATTTTGACACTGGTAATATATTATTTGTGACTTCCATCCTGGCCTTCTGTTGTCTTAGTTAATGGGGTGTTGACTACAGTTCTAGAAAGACTTTTGTATTTCCATAGAAGGGATTTCATTTAGGGATTTATTGTAGCAAACCACAGGAACTTAAACTTCAGGTCGACTGAATCTATTATTATTTATTGTTGACCTTAGTTTAAAAAAAGTGATTTTAGTGAAAAGTCCATCACAGTGAAAATTTAAAACTGTTGTCACTCTTTCACTTCAGTTTTGTTGTTTTGACGTCATGTAGCCGCATTAGCAACTCCCTATGTTGGACCTCACCCACTTTTTTTTTTGACAGGCAGAATGGACAGTGAGATAGAGAGAGAGAGACAGAGAGAAAGGTCTTCCTTTGCCGTTGGTTCACCCTCCAATGGCCGCTGAGGCCGGCGTGCTGTAGCCGGTGCACCGTGCTGATGCGAAGCCAGGAGCCAGGTGCTTCTCCTGGTGTCCCATGGGGTGCAGGGCCCAAGGACTTGGGCCATCCTCCACTGCACTCCCTGGCCACAGCAGAGAGCTGGCCTGGAAGAGGGGCAACCAGGGCAGAATCCGGTGCCCCGACCGGGACTAGAACCCGATGTGCCAGCGCTGTAAGGCGGAGGATTAGCCTATTGAGCGGCGGCGCAGGCCGGACCTTACCCACTTTACACACCCAGTGTGACTGTCTTTTCTACCCTTCTGCCTGTTTCCTCCTGTCTTTTCTTAACTTTAATATGGAAACCTTACAGGCCCATCTGGATCACCCTTTGTCAAGATTTGGGTTGCAGCAAAACCCTCATTTTATTTTATTTGGGAAGTGGGAAGGGAGGGGAGTGAGGCAAAGAGATTTGCTACTCAAATTCACTACTCAAATACAAGGCTGAACTGGGGCCAGGAGCCAGGAATGCAATCTAGGTCTCCAATGTGGATACAGGAACCACATTATCTGAGCCAGTACCTGCTCCCTACCAGGATCTTCATTAGCAGGAAGCTGGAGTCAGGAGAAAGGGCTGAATCTGGAAGCCAAGTGGATGCACGTGTCTTAATCCACATCTTAGTCATCTTAATCTGCTCTTTTACTAGCAGACATTGCCAATCAACCTCACTATTCTTACTCCACGTGTATCCTTAGTCTTCTGACTTTTAGTCTAGTCACAAGAAACCATTTCCAGTTAGTGGGAGTAGTCACTATTTCACAAGGAAACCGAGCAGACCAGCATAATCCAAATTCCGGTGTAATAATGTTTCTGACCATAAGAACCACATGGGATACTCAGGACTCACCAAGAACTACTGAATCAGAACCTCCAGAGGAGGAGCTGGAAAAACTTTTTCCCGTTTTGCTGTGTTTAAGGATATTTTTGGAACATTTTGGAAGATAAAAAAATATGTAAATATCCTCCTACACTTCTTAAAATGTCTTCTACCTAGGAGCTATAGTGCAAAGAATTTTAATCTCTAAAATATTGATCTCTGTGTAGGTATTTTGAGTTTGGCTGGGAAGTAGTACCTAGGGATCAAGGTTGCAGGAGGGGACAAAGTACTTAACAATAAACAGAATAGTTACTATAAATGTATGAATACATGGTACCTGGTGACCAGTGTTCAAAATTCAGCAAACCCAAGCTCCACATCCTAATCCAATCAAACTAATGCCAGTGTATTTATCTGCCATTCGAATGAGCACCAGATGGAATAGGGTTATCAAGTGTCAATCGAAGACAATGAAAATAAGATAGCAAAAGGAGCTTATGATAGTGCATCTTGCCCCCAGATCACTGATTTGAAGTCACTTTAATAAGGATTTAATAAGATTGTAGCTATAGCACAAAGAAGTCAGAAGTCATGCTAACAAAAAATTGTCCCTATGAAGTTCTGTTTAATTGTACTGTTTAGAAGCATCATATTGTATGTGAAACAATATATCAGTTTATTTGATATATTGATATTTGATATTCTGGCTGTCCATGCATTTGACAAAGTGCCTATTGAAGTTTTTTATTTACTACTGAAATGGGATTTCCAAGTCTTTTTTTTTTTTATCTTTTTTGAATACAAACATAATTTTCCGCTGTAAAACTTATGGTGGTTTGTTTTAAGCACTAGCCATTATGAGATGCTAATTATATGATCTACTTTCATTGTGCTCAGTCATCGCCTTCCATCTCTAATAAACTGTGCCTTAATTGCTGAGGACCTTATTGTAGTAGTATTTCTGTTCTTAATGTCTTAAATGTTTTAAGCAGTGCTCTGGTCACATTGCTTACATTGCTAGCTAAGTGGGCACAACAAAAGTGCAAATTCTTTTCCAACCATTAGACCCTGTGGTTGGACAAGTCACTTGTTTGTTTTATCTTCTCTTTCCTCTCTTAGTCATGTTGGTTAGCTACCAGAGGGAATTTCTACAAATAGCACCTCTCCTGAGGAAATTGTTAGCACAGAGTAACTGGATTTCACTTCAAATGGGCACCAAGCATATGATGGGAGAGGGGAGGTTGAAGGATAAACTCTGTAGATGAAGGCACACATTTACTTGCTCTTGTAGATTAACACTGTTAGCAAGAATACTGATGACAGAATGATTTCCTAATGCTGCAGGTAGCCCTACTGGAGAACCTTGTGGGAAGACTTGTCTGGAGGAGAGAGATAATGAGTGGCTGGGCGTCACTCTTTCCAGACAGCCAGGAGAAAACGGATCCATCGTGGTAGGTACTGGAGTTGGTGCACTGATCTGTCATAAAATCACTTATTCTAAGTGAAATCTTCACATCATTTGCACTACTTTTATTTTATTCAGACTTGTGGGCATCGATGGAAAAATATATTTTACATAAAGAATGAGAATAAGCTCCCCATTGGTGTTTGCTATGGAATGCCCTCTGATTTACGAACAGAACTGAGTAAAAGAATGGCTCCATGCTATCAAGGTAAGGCATGGCTTCACTATTAACCAGATCAAGACAAATAAGTGAATGTTTAGATTTTTTAATTTTTCAATTTTGGATGTTCAGAGACTGAGAGGCAGATATTCAATGTAGCTATGTTCCTTTTTGACTACTTGAATTATTTCTTCCTTTCCTTTGTTCACCCAACTGCAGTAGCATTAGGTTTCTTTTTTTATTATTTTTAAAAAACTATTTGAAAGACATAGTTGCAGAGAAGGAGAGGTAGACTCAGGTGGGGAGAGGGAGGGAGGAAGAGACAGAGAGAGAGAAATCTTCCATCTGCTTGTTCGCTCCCCAAGTGACTGCAATGGCCAGGGCTGGGCCAAGCCAAAGCCAGGAGCCAGGAGCTTCATCCGGGGCTCCTACATGAATGGCAGGGCCCAAGCACTCAGGCCATTTTCTAATGCTTTGTCAGTTGCCTTAGAAGGAAGCTGGATTGAAAGTGGAGCATGAGGAGTCATACCACTGTCCAGTTGGGATGCAGGTACTGCAGGCTGTGGATTTACCCACGAAGCATCAACGCCAGCCCCAGCATTAGGTTTTATAAATGTGCTTTTAGAAATACAAATTCTAGGGGCTGGCGCCATGGCTCACTTTGTTAAATCCTCCGCCTGCAGTGCCGGCATCCCATATGGGCACCGGGTTCTAGTCCCGATTGCTTCTCTTCCAGTCCAGCTCTCTGCTGTGGCCCAGGAGGGCAGCGGAGGATGGCCCAAGTGCTTGGGCCCCTGCACCCACATGGGAGACCAGAAAGAAGCACCTGTCTCCTGGCTTTGGATCAGCACAACGCTGGCCATTGTGGCCATTTGGGGAATGAACCAACGGAAGGAAGACCTTTCTCTCTGTCTCTCTCACTGTCTATTACTCTACCTGTCAAATTAAAAAAAATAAATAAATAAATACAAATTCTATAAAGTTTAATTTGAATGGTTCTGGAATCTGACTGGTAACCACTTTCTATTGTTTTATTTTACTTTCATTTCAGTATAACTGCATTTAATACCCAGTAAATATGGATCCTTATAAAGTTATGAAATTACATTAAAAAGTCTGAATAGAAAGAACATGACTTTTTTTTACCTTTTACTTCCAAGAGTAATCAGAAGGATTCAAACTATAATTGTATAATTGTAAGCACTCTTCTTTCCCAATTCGTATGTATTCCTTGAAACCACAAGAGATTAGTGTCCAAAAGGCCTTTCTTAGGGAAATTCCTACCATAAGTACTTCTGCGTGTATAGAGTGAGGACATAAACAACTAAAGTTACAGGTGAAAGTCAGCAGAGCAATTAAAATTATAGGCAAAAAACACCTAAAATACTAACAATGTATCCTTACAGAACTAAGAAAAGCTTATGAATGCCAATTTCCAATTTTTCTGACCTCACAAAGACCAGCATCCAAAGAAAAATTTGTTAATTGGCAAAACTTTGGCCAAGTATTTGAATACAATTATTTTTAAACTTTAAAAAAAAATCTTATTAGAAAGGTAGAGTGAGAGAGAGAGAGACAGAGACAGAGATCTTCCATCCACGGTTTACTCCTCAAATGGATGCAAGGGCCAGGGCTGGGCCAGGTGAAAGCCAAGAGTGTGGAGCTTCATCTGGGTTTCTAACATGGAGAGACCCAGAGGCCCAAGTACTTGGTCCATCTTTTTCTACAATAACAGGTGCATTAGCAGCTAGCCTGATGAGGAGTAGAACAATTGGGACTTGAACTGGCTGTCATAGAGGATGCCAGCACTGCGGGTGGTGGCCTAATCTGCACCACAACACTGGCACCTGGATTGGAGTCTGTCTTGCCTGGAATTCAATGTAGTTTATATGATAAATATTGTTGTCTTTGAATGCCAACAAGATTAAAGGTAACTACTAAATTGTCAATCACTATAAAACAGTCTAGGATCTGTATGTTTATCCTCTTCTGCCTCAGAGCTTATGGTTTGTAACTTAAAATATTTTTATGGTAGAGTTTTTATTTTTGTGCAGATATACTTAGCCACTTTCTGCAAAAAAAAAAAAAAAAATTCAAGATGACATAACCCTAACACACTTAAAAGCAGAGCATCTGGTAAGATAATAAAATTAATCACAGGCCGGCGCCGTGGCTCACTAGGCTAATCCTCCGCCTTATGGTGCCAGCACACAGGGTTCTAGTCCCAGTCGGGGCGCCAGATTCTGTCCTGGTTGCCCCTCTTCCAGGCCAGCTCTCTGCTGTGGCCAGGAAGTGCAGTGGAGGATGGCCCAAGTGCTTGGGCCCTGCACCCCATGGGAGACCAGGTTAAGCACCTGGCTCCTGCCTTTGGATCAGCGCAGTGCGCCGGCCTCAGCGGCCATTGGAGGGTGAACCAACGGCAAAGGAAGACCTTTCTCTCTCTCTCTCTCTCTCTCTCTCACTGTCCACTCTGTCAAAAAAATTAATCACAGGAAATGGTAGTATACATGAGGTAGCAATTGTTCAACTTTTCTGGTTGGAAAATGCAAAAAAATGTGGTTCAGATGATTTCCATGGAGGTTTTCTTATGCTAGTTCTCCAGAAGCAGCAAAGCTTTGTCCCAGAAATGAGCTCCAACAGCACCCATTAATGAATATCTTGTGATGAGAGCCTCCGTCTCCACGTGGGTCTGAGTCAGTCTCTGATTTTCAGCAGGGAAAAATCTAGGGGAGGAGTTTCTTCAATAAATGACGTTGGAGAAACTGGAAATACACATACAAAATAATGAAACTGGGGGGCCTTGCTTTGTGGTGTAACAGGTTAAGCCTCCACCTGGGACACTGGTGACTCACACGGGTGCCAGTTCTAAACCTGGCTGCTCTACTTCCAATCCAGTTCCCTGCTAATGTGCCCGGAAAAAGCAGTGAATGATGGGAGATCCAGACGAAGCTCCGAGCCCCTGGCCTCGGGCTGGTCCAGCCACAGCAATTGCTGCCATTTGGGGAGTGAACCAGCAAATGGAAGATTCTCTCTGTCTCTCCTTTTGTATTACTCTGCCTTATAAATAAATAAATAAATAAATAAATAAATAAAATTGAGGACCTTTATCTTACATCATACGTGAAAGTCAACTCAAAGTGGAATAAAAACATAAATGTAAATCTTGAATCTACAAAATTCCTAAAAGAAAACACAGCGGGAAAGCTCTTTGGCATCCATATGAGCAATGGTTTCTTGATATTTTTTGGCTATCACACCAAAGCCTCAGGCAGCAAAAGCAAAACTAAAGAAGCAGAATTGCATCAAGCCACAAGACTTCTACAGAGCAAAGGAAACAAGGAACAGACTATGTACTGGTAAAAATGTTTGCAAGCCATGTATCTGCTGAAATGTTAGTATCTAAAATCTAATATCTAAATATCTAAAATATAAAAGCAACTCACTAATTTGATAGCAAAACCAAACAAATAATTGACTTGAAAGTAGATGAACATAACCAGCGTAGGTGATGCAGCAGGTTAAGCTCTGCTTGCAATATCTGCATCCCATATCCAAGTGCTATTTATGGTCCTGGCTGTTCCACTTTGGATCCAGCATCCTGCCCACGTGCCTATGAAGGCAGCATAAGATCGTCGAAGTTATTGGACCGCTGCCAACCCCCTGGGAGACCAGGATGGAGCTGCTGGCTTGTGCCTAGCCCAGTCCTTTATGTTGCAGTCATGAGGAGTAAACTAGTGGAAGGAAGATCTCATGTTTTTAAAAAATTGCTTTAAAAAAAAATAAGACTGAATTGGATTCCTACATCCCCACTCGAGTGCTTGGATTCAAATCGTGGCTGTGCCCCCCAACTTTACCTTCCTGCTAATATGCACAGTGGTGGACAGTGGTGATGGCTCAAGTAGTTGTGACCTTGCCACTCATATGGGAGGTCCATATTGAGTTCCCAGTTCATGGCTCAGGCCTAGTGTAGGCCCTGGCCATTGTACATTTGGAAAATGAACCAGCAGTTAGAAGATTGACCCCTCTCCTTCAGTTGTTTATCGTTTCAAGTAGATAAAAATAAACTTTGTTCTTAAAAGGCAGGAGATACCAAGTGTTGCTGAGGATGCAGATACTGTTGGTAAGACTGTAAATTGGCAAAGCCCTTGCACAGTGTGTCATAATTAAAAACAGAACTAACATACAATTTAGCAATCCCTCTTCTAGGGAGAAACACAAAGGAAATGAAATCAGTACCATAAAGAGCTATCTGTACTTCTATGTTCATTACCATGTTATTCACAGAAACTAAGGAAGCAGCCTGTTTGTCTGCAAATGGATGGGTGAGGAATTATGAGCGATGTATGTATATAGATATTTGTACACACATACACACACAATGAAACATTATTCAACCTTCTAAAAGGAAATCCTGTAATTTATGAAAACAGGTGATCTTGGAGAACATTGTGTTAAGGAGGTAAGCAGGTGCAAAAGACAAATACTATATGATCTCATTGGAATGAAGGTATTTCAAAAAGTTCACAGAAAATGGAAATAAAAGATAAATTTATTTTGGTGCAAAAAGTTTTGAAATCTGTACATAAGAAGTTCTTCAAAAGTTTACAAAAAATGTGTATTATAAAAAAGCTATGCATGGTTTTTGAAATGTTTTTCACCAAAATAAACATCTTTTAATTTCATTAATAACTTTTTGCAGTATGTTCAGAGTAGAATCTGGAAGTCAAACATATGGAAACAGAATTGGAAGTGGTTGTCAGGAATGGGAACTGTTGGCTAAAGGAAGCAGAGGTGCAGTGTTGTGAGAGGAATAAATCTAGAGACATAATGCATGGCATGAGAACTCAAGTTAACAGCAATTATTTATCCAGGAATTGACCAAGAGCAGATTTCAGGTGCTCTTACCATACAGGAAAAAGGTCCCTGTGAGAAGATGGATGTGTTAATTTGCATGAATGTAGTGATAATTTCACTCTTATTTCTGTGCTTCATTTTAGATTATATAAGAAAATTTGGAGAAAACTTTGCATCATGTCAAGCTGGAATATCTAGTTTTTACACAGAGGTAATAAGTTTAAAACATAGCTGCTATAAGTGTTTACAAATAAAACCTTAATTATGAAGGTTTTCAAGTCTGATGTTAGCCTTTGAAGTAAAAATTGTGTAGTATTTTTTAAATTTGTGAGTGTTACAACTTAATTTCTACACTTAATATTCCAGATATATTTTGATAAAATATTGATTTTTAGATGGCTGTATTGCACAGAACCAACTAAAATCTATACTAAAGAGTCTTACTTCCAGCAATAATTTAATGGAAATCAAAAATAGCTATAGTGGCTTCCTTAGGTATTGAAAATATCTAAGTATCGTTATTTTAACTACTAGTTGAGGGGGTAAGGAAGCATATGAGTCTACATTTTTCATTGAAGTGACAATGGTTGGCAGATTCAAGAACTTATATCCTCTTAGATTATTTCTCGAATTCTTTTGTTTTCTTTCTTCCTCTCCAGGGTGTGCTATGAGATGTCAGAGTTGTACTCACCTCCAGATCTCCGAGTTTCCCTTCATATCCGATCATTGTGAATCACAAATGTTTTCTAACTCTGTGCAGATCAGGCTGCATACCGTTTCGAGCAAACAACTTCTATAAATATTCACTGTTATACAAAAAGGCTTACAATACCGCTCTATTCAATCGATGTTTTCAAATTTAGGACTAAGAGATATAGGTTTCATTACTTAAGATTTTCATTCTATACCAGACAAATACCTGTTCATTCCAAGCTTCTTTCTGTTTCTTTTTCCTAAGTTCCTCTTTACAATAAATTACGCCCCAAATTCCCTTGCCCTTTTTCCCCTAAACTATTATTGTTAGGGAACTAGTCAGTGGGTTTTTGCAAATTCAAATAAAATATGTCCACTTTTTACTCTTGGGTCACACACAATTACCTCTGTAATGAGCACTAATAAATTGCCTTAGATATAATTTTCTTTAATAAAAACCACATTGCCTTTCTCCTGAAAGCTTACTGTACTTGCAGTGATTCCACCTTCAGTTTTTAAAATGCACTGTGAAGTATTTCAGAGTTTCTTCTTGATACTTCTAGTGGAAACCCCTTAACCAATGTCTTGGCTTGTTATTTTCTGATAGTTTTTTTTTCATTCTTTTACTTCTTTAATTCTTTTTTTTAGAAAACTTTTATTTAATAAATATAAATTTCCAAAGTACAAATCTTGGATTATAGCGGTTTTTCCGCCCCATCACCACCCTCCCACCCATAAACCATCCCATCTCCTACTCCCCCTCCCATCCCATTCTTCATTAAGATTCATTTTTAATTATCTTTATATACAGGAGATCAACTTAGTATATACTAAGAAAAGATTTCAACAGACTGCACCCACACAGGCACACAAAGTAAAATACTGTTTGAAGACTAGTTTTACCATTAATTCTCATAGTACAATACATTAAGGACAGAGATCCTACCTGGGGAGTAAGTGCACAGTGACTCCTGTTGTTGATTTAACAATTGACACTCTTATTGGTGACATCAGTAATCACCTGAGGCTCTTGGCATGAGCTGCCAAGGCTATGGAAGCCTCTTGAGTCCACAAACTTACTTAGGGCCAAATCAAAGTGGAAATTCTCTCCTCCCTTCAGAGAAAGGTACCTCCTTCTTTGATAGCCCCTTCTTTCCACTGGGATCTCAGTCACAGAGATCTTTCATTTAGGTCATTTTTTTGCAACAGTGTCTTGGCTTTCCATGCCTGAAATACTCTCATGGGCTTTTTAGCCAGAACTGAATGCCTTAAGGGCTGATTCTGAGGCCAGAGTGCTGTTTAGGGCATTTGCCATTCTCTGAGTCTGCTGTGTATCCTGCTTCCCATGTTGGATTGTTCTCTCCCTTTTTTATTCTATCAGTTAGTATTAGCAGACACTAGTCTTGTTTATGTGATCCCTTTGACACTTAATACTATCTTTGTGATCAATTATGAACCAGCCCTTTCTGATAGTTAAACACAATATATATATTTCATAAATCTATTATAAAAATGTATTCTCTTCACCAATTACTTAAAGTGCTGTGTATCTGGAGGAGATTTGGGGTGATCAGATTTAACTTTTAAATGAATGATTTTGTTTTGTTTTTACAGGATTTAATTGTAATGGGAGCACCTGGATCATTTTATTGGACTGGTTCTCTTTTTGTCTACAATATAACTACAAATAAATACAAGGCTTTTTGGGACAAAGATAATCAAGTAAAATTTGGAAGTTATTTAGGTATTATAAAATTAATTAATTCAAATTGTCTCTGCTTGTATATACTAGTAATTATAAATAAGGGAAAGATTCAAAAGATCTAAATGGCTAGTAACAATTAAAGGCCCAATTCAGAAGCTGTCTCCTATAGATAGAATCCATGAAAGTAGTTTACTTAATATCTTATACTTACATGTGGGTCTACAATACTGACTATATTATTCTTACACTAGTAATCCCAGTTTACTTTTTGCACTTCAGCAAACACTTGTGAGCTTACATCATAGTCATATGCATTTAACTTCATAGATACCTTCTACCAAGTATTTACTGTATCACAGAAAGGTAAAAGTAAAAGCATTCCCTGAATTAACTCATTGAAATCCTGGATAAGTAAGTACAGCTTTGAAAAGAACCAACTGAAAGCCAGTGGAACTGTCGAAGGCATTCTAGGTCAGAACATTGAGAAACATATGGGTCTAAAAATGGCTCATTGACTTTTGCCTTTTAAGTTCTTAGATATTTCCTGGAGCTTAACTGTTTTTGTCATGTTTTCCTCCTCATTAATATTTCATTAATCAGCAGCAGGGCACCTTGTCCTCTGTATTTCTACAGAAATAAAAAAATTGGCGTTAATTCTCACTACCATAAAATAAATGTTTTCCATGTAATTTTTCAGAAAAATTAGATTTATTTAAATGGCATGAGCTTCAAATGTATTTTGTACTTAGAAATAATTATAATAAAATAAGCAGTATTTGTTCCCATTCAAATAGAAGAAATTCATCTTCAAACAGAAGGAATTTATTTCCAATTTTCCTTTTTATCATTGAAAGATATCTTGAAGTATTGTAAGAAATGTGATATGATATTATCCTTTTTATGTAAAATAAAAATGTTACCTTTTGTGATTATCAAGTTATTACAATAGGAAGATCTCATGGCAAAAACTTGAAGTTTAGAAATATTTAAAGCTTAAAATGCTCTATTTTATAGGAGATTACTTCAAAAAGTTCATGAGAAATGGAATTAAACAATTGTCTTTGGTGTAAAAATGTTGAAATTCATGCATATGTGGGGTCCACAAAAAGTTCATGAAAATCTGTTTTATGAAAAAATTGTAGATTTAAGTTTTTTGCATGAAAATAAGCTTATTAATTCCAGTCTTTAAAATTTATTTTTATTTATTTGAAAGACAATGAGACAGTTATTTATCCCTCAGTTTAATCCCCAAATGCCTACACAGCTGGAGTTGAGTTAGACAGAAGCCTAGAGCCAGGAATTCAATTTGGGTCTTTCATGTGGTCATCACTTTGCCTTCCAGTGTGCACATTAGCACTGGGCTGGAATTGGAAGCAGAGCAGAGACCCCCCCCAAACCCAATATGGAATTTTGATTTGGAATGCAGGCATCCCAATTGGCGTCTTAACCACTGTGCCAAATGCCTGGCTCAGTGCCTCTTTTCTGTGAATGTTTTGAGGTCCCCATTTTTTGTTGTAATCCTTGAAGCTGATTATTGCTACTGCACAGGAACTCACAAATCAAATATGAAGGTCTGGTTTTCTTTCAGTTTCTAGGACTTGGAATACTAACCACATGACTATAGTTTCATAACACACATAGCATTATTGATTAAGACATAAACTAAATAACCGATTTTAAGTATTACTGTGCTAAGTATTAAAACTGCTTAGTGTAGTCGCTGTGAATTCAGTCTCTGAATTCTGAATGAAATCTTGATGTATTTTACTCACTGTCAAGGGTGATTCTCTTATGCTTTTCTTGAAGGGTACTCAGTTGGAGCTGGTCACTTCTGGAGTCGACATACAACAGAAGTAGTTGGAGGAGCTCCTCAACATGAACAGATTGGAAAAGTAATTCCATTTTTAGATTTATTCCTCCTCAGAATTTCAAATGAATTTGCTGAGAAAGGATATGAAAGGAAGCAGGGCAAAAATTTTAAAGATGAAAGGTGAACAGTATTGTGCTGCATTTAATGAATTTGTAAAACATTTATAGTTTCAGAAGATATTTAATAGAAAATCCTTCAGGAGAATTATGTAAGTCAATTTTTCTTTGAAGTAAATTTTTTCTAAAATACAATGTCCAGAGAATGCATTTATTGGTTAGCATTCATTGAAATAAAATTGAGGTAGCTACACATTTTGTGGTAAGACTAGAAAAATGTTATTTCTGGTTATAGTTTTTGCAGATTGTTCCGTGAACATTGGTCAATTTTTCTGACTCTTACATTTCAAAACTTAGGCATACAACACTTTCTGTGCTCCCTTTATGGGATCAGTAAGATAATTCCTGAAGAGATAGTTTTGTAAGTAAAACATATTACCATGAAAGTGGACCCTAAACCTTTTATATTGCTCTTTAAAGTATTTATTTGAACAAGATTAAGTTATGAAAATTGATGTTTTGATGAAGCAGAAGTTTAGGAAGAAAATTCTAGAGCAATGTAAACTTTTCTAATTCTTTCTCCAATGGCAGGCATATATATTCAGCATTGACGCCAGAGAACTAAATATCTTATATGAAATGAAAGGTAAAAAGGTAATATGTCTCTACCCTGGGTGTCACTGAGGGCTTTTGTGAATAACCCTGCTTTGTTCTCAATGACTGGATCTCCTTTGTTTTGGGGTAGCTCGGCTCATATTTTGGAGCCTCTGTGTGTGCTGTGGACCTCAATGCGGATGGCTTCTCAGACCTACTCGTAGGAGCTCCTATGCAGAGCACCATCAGGGAGGAAGGAAGAGTGTTCGTGTACATCAACTCGGGCTCGGTATGTCCAATCACCTGCACAGGAGAAGCCATTTATGGAGAGAGATGAACACTGAAATTGTTCCCATTGCTGAGTTTTGAGGTGATGGGTTCTCATACTTATTTTACTGACAAATGTGAAAATCTGGTATTGTACCAGTGCTCTAAAAGTGAAATGGAACATGATGATGAGTGGGCAGTCGTTTCGTTTTGATAGTACACCAGTATGAGGTAAAACATTACAGAGTTTTTCTATTCACATCTTGTATGTCTTCACTCTAGTAGTTGAAATTTCTTTTAGATATATTCTTATATAAACCGAATGTGAAAGAATCATTTTTATAAACCCTTCAAAAATGTTTTAATAGTTCTATAGTTGAGCTCCTTATATTATTTAATAAGTTATAAGCTATTACTAGAAATAGAAAATAAAGACTTAAATGTTTGTGATTTCTTGTTTTGAAGACAATTAGAAATAAAATCTGTTTTGAGGAATGCTTAATTTTCACAATTCATGTAAACTATATTCTTGAAAAGAATATAAACTTGGCATAGTTTACAGAAAATGGATATATTAATTGCATGCATAGGTCATTACTGATGAGGGTTCAGTTTTAAATTATGAAGCAATATTGTGTCCTAGATATTGACCACTCGGTGATTCAGTCTAAAGAGTTCCGCTGCCCTTGTCTTCCCAGCCTCAGTTCTTGACATTAGATCAAAACAAAGAATCAGGGCCTTAAGGAGATCTTCTTGGCCTATTTGTCTATCTGAAAGCAAGATTGGGCCTGTGAGAAAACTGGCATTGCATATGGCATAGCATTCTTCAGTCAGGATTTGACAAAGTAAAATCTTTTTTAGGATGCTACTTGTAATCTTGTTTAATCAACCATTTCAGAGCATTTAGTAAGTTCCTATAGTAAATGTCAGTCTAAATTGTACAACTGAAGAGAGAACTCTCTAATGTGATAAAGCTGGGGGATTCTCAAGGTTCCAAATATAGAGCAGAGAGTTACTAATGCACCGGGCTTTCCTAGGCTATGCTTAAATCTCAATTTAATAATAACGCCGTATCAGTAGCACAGTGATCACTGGAATCCCATCAATAATAGTATTGGACAACACTTTCTCTTCCACAGACACTCCACATTTCCCTGTTCATAGATGGTCTTCCTTAGACTTCTTAAGCATGCTGCAAATTTGTTACCTTTCTCTTACAGCTGAACTTTTTTGACAGTAAGTTAAACAGTAGCATGTACATATAAAATATGGGAATCCCTTTCCCTTTCAAATGTTAATCTCAATATGAGAAATGCATACAAGCAGAGTTTTGCTTGAAGGGCAAGGGAAGACCCCTAACTACTGTGCTACCCTCCTGTTCTTCCCTGGTACGTCCCTGAGGCACTCTGCCAAATACTGTGCTTGATTTAATAACAGAGTCTGACTTTGAAATCCTGTGACACAAATAAGTGTCCCTTTGTTCCCACCTAACTTCCTCTTTCTTAACCCTTTGAAATTACACTCACCTAAGTGACAGTGTATATATCTGTATTTGCTTAGCTATTGGAAAAATCGTCTGGCTTGTTGCTGCTATGTCTTTAGTGCTTGGAGCAGCCCTGGAGAAGTAGGTGCTCTGAAATTGGTTTTCAGTGAACTCAAGAAAGAGTGACACTTGAATGACTCTGGTTTCCACCTACTTCTACCAAAATAGCTCTCAGGGATCCCCAGAAGACTCTTGCCGCCACTCATGGATTGGAGAATACTCGAAGCAGAGTGATTACCTGAAACTCTCCTCCCCTAACTTCAGTGCCATTGTGTCATCTTAAGTCTGCACCCCTCTTAAATCTGTCCTCCCTGGAGCATCTTGAAATTTATGCATTTCCTTGAGAGTCCAGCTCTTTCATCCCTCACCCCTTTGATCTAGTCAGTCTCTGCTTTGTTGTCAGTGATTCTGTCTATACAGACGATTCCTAGTCATCTAAGTTCATTTTAAATGAATGACATTTAGTGACTATCTGAAGTGTAACAGAGTATGGGAAGAGTTGAGAGTGTACTTACTCTTGTTCTCTAGGGCCTTGGAATCCAGTGAATACACAAAACCTGGAGGTAAATAGTGAAACACAACATGGTAAAATAGTATATTTTAAATCTATATAAAATACAAAAAAATCCACTTTGGATCAAAAATTTTTCACAGAGGAAATGATATTTGAGCAACAAAAGAATAGGAGTTTTCAGTTGGATTATACAAGGTGATGGGGAAGAACACGTTGGATCTTCTGAGGAGAAGAAAGCAACTATGAGTGGTACATAGATTTTTTTAGTTTCAGCCGAAGGGACTGACATGATTAGTGTGTGGAGAGGACTGGTAGCAACAGCTCAGTATTTGGGGCCCTTGCTGTGGCTCATTTGGCTAATCCTACACCTGTGGCACCGGCATCCCATATGGGCACCGGGTTCTAGTCCCGGTTGCTCCTATTCCAGTCCAGCTATCTGCTGTGGCCCGCGAAGGCAGTGGAGGATGGCGCAAGTGCTTGGGGCCCTGCACCTGCATGGGAGACCAGGAAGAAGCACCTGGCTCCTGGCTTCGGATTGGTGCAGTGCTGGCCATAGCAGCCATTTGGGGAGTGAACCAACGGAAGGAAGACCTTTCTCTCTGTCTCTCTCTCTCTCACAGTCTATAAATCTATCTTTCAAATAAATAAATAATTAAAAAACAGCTCGGTATTGCACCATTATTGAGTGTTTTATTATAATCACTCTTCTTCCAACTTCCAAAGAATCAGGTAACCAATCCCTGCCCCACTGCTGTTGGAGTAAGTTTCCAAAGGTCAGCCTCAGTCACGCCACTCAGCTCAGACACCTTCAGTGGCTGTCTACTGTTCACTAGATCAAGAGAAAATTGCTGTTAGCAAGCAAAATAGTACATCTGAAGATATCAATTGAAGTTTTTGGCTCATTTATTACATATTCCATTTATTATAGTCAGATTCTCTGAAATTTGCTAATAGTTTTCTGTGTATGTCAAACTCATACTCATCCTTCAATAGCTACTTTGTCTGCCAACTACTTCATGAAATTTCTCTCGGTCATCACAGATGTTCTTTCATTGTTTCTTGAGATTGCAGTGTTTATATAAGGACATTTCAAAAAGCTGTTGGACATATAGCACAGTGAGTTAAGTCACCCGTTGAAATGCCCACATACCAAATCAGAGTAGTTGGTTTGAGTCCTAGCTACTCACACTTCTAATCCAGCTTCCTTTAATGTACCTGGGAAGGCAACAGATAATGATTCAAGTACTTGAGTTCCTGCCACCCATGTGGGAGACCTGGATGAGATTCCAGGCTTCTGCCTTTGGCCTCATCCAGGACAGCTGTTGCAGGAATTTGGAAGAGTGGGCCCATGGATGGAAGATGTTTGTCTCTCCCTTCTCCTCTTCTCCCCTGTCCCCCTCACTCCCTCCCACTTCTCCTCTCTCCCTCTTTTCCTCCCTTTCTCATTCACTCTGCATTTCAAATAAATTTTCTTTATGTTCATGGAAAATGAAACTAAAGTATAAGTTTATTTTGTTAAAAAAAATCTTAAAATCCATGCATAGATTTCTCAAAATACACATTTTCCATGAACTTTTGAAGATTCTTTGTATGCATGCATTTTGTAATTTTTTGTACAAAAACAAATTTATCTTTTAACCTCATTGCCACGAACAATTTGAAGTAGGCCATTCCTTTTAAGTCCTAGCTTGCTTCCTCTAAAGGGAATGTGTTTGATAAACACTGCCTTGTCCCCTTTTGCCTGTTTACTCTGCACAGTGCATTGTCTTTATTAAGAGCTTGATAAGTATTTGCTAAATTGAATTATCAAAATGATTTATTGGATTTTCAAAGCTAGGGTTCATGAGTTTGTCCATTTTTTATGTCCTCTGAGCTCTTATCATGCTATTACATGTGTTGACATGCTCAATAAATATTTATTGAATTGAACTGAGATATGTGTGCTGAAGCTCAGTCTGTAGTTTGTCCAACTTGTTTGACTCAATAGAAAAAATCCATATCCAATTACAGCAGTAAATCATGTGTAAAGTTGTCTGAGAGTGTTATAATGACACCTTTTCTCTCCCTTTCTATCTAGGGAGCAGTAATGAATGAAATGGAAACAGAACTCATTGGAAGTGACAAATATGCTGCAAGATTTGGGGAATCTATAGTTAATCTTGGTGACATTGACAATGATGGCTTTGAAGGTAATTAAAAGGATCAAATGTGGTACTTTATTTATGCCTTAAAAGTGGTTCTGGAAGAGAATGTGATTGGAGTTTTGTGTTGTCTGTATCTAGAAAATAGAGCCAAAATGGTATAATAAGATTTTTTTTCTTTTTATAGTGTTCTGACTTTAGTTATTGATCTTTTGTTTTCTTTTTAAATATTCTGCCTCCGATTACAATGACTAGAAGTTTAAACCCATTTCACTCTTACTAAAAGAGCAGAATTCTTTTTTTTTTTTCAATATTTTATTTATTTGAGAGGAAAAGTTACAGACAGAAGAAGAGACAGAGAGAAAGGTCTTCCATCTGCTGGTTCACTCCCTAAACTGCTGCAATGGCCAGAGCTGGCCTGATCCAAAGCCAGGAGCCAAAAGCTTCTTCTGGGTCACCTACATCGTTGCATGGACCCAAGCACTTGGGCCATCTTTAACTGCTTTCCCAGGCCATAACAGAGATCTAGATTGGAAATGGAACAGCTGGTGCCCATGTGAGATGCCGGTGCCACAGTTGGAGGCTTACTCACCACAGCACAGCACAGGCTCCCACCTCTTGATCTTTACTCTTATCCATAAAGGATGATTTTCAAAATACCTTATTTCATTGATTCTAAGTCGTCATTCATATATATTATATTATTATTTTATGTGCTCCTAGAAAAAAACACTGCTGTGGCACCTACTATTTTTATATGCTAAGAAGGATGCTGATTTCAGAAATGAGAAAATGTTGGGGGTGGCATGGGGGATGATGTGTGTATTAGAGACTCTTTGGACCACGGTCTTTAACTATCAGTGTAGATACTGACCACACACCACTGAGGGCTGGCTGCAGAGCTGGAGCAGAGTTTACTCAAGTCCCCAGCTAGACTGGAAATTTCCTGTTCAGCTGTTGCACTGTGGGAGAACTTCAGGGATTTCAGAGGGAATCCTAAGCAGTTATGATGAGCAGCTAGGAGTACTGGGACACTAGCTATTCACCAACTGAAAGGAAGTAATTCAATAATGAAATGCATGAGATTGTCATAATGGAATATATTGCCCTGGATTGTCAGTCCTGATGTTGGAATACTTGTCTCTGCCAGCAGTCCCTCAACATATGCCAGTACTTAACATTTTTCAGTACTAAGTGGTAACAGAGTCTGTTAAGATGGCATATGCAAGGATGATTGAGTTTGAGAGGAGAGCGTAACTCTTCTTACTAGAGTTATACCAATTAGTATTTGATACTTGCTGTCAGTGTTCAGAATTGTGTCTTCTTTGTATGGTCATTGACAATCAGTGCACACTAATATTGGCTAAAGTTTACTTGGATACTAAAACTAAATGATGGACGGGAGTGGGTGTTCTGGCCACCACTTGGGACACCTGCATCCATCTGAGTGTCTGGGATAGAGTCCCACCTCTGCTTCTAAGCCAGCTTCCTGATAATACACACCCTGGGAGGCAGCAGATGGTAGCCCAGGTAGTTGGGGTCCAGCCACCTGTGTGGGGGACCCAGATTAAGTTTCTGGATCCTGGATTCAGCTTGGCACAGCCCTGGCTGTTGTGGGCATTTGGGGACTGAACTGTAGATAAAAGAGCTCTGTCTCTTCCCCTTTATCTTTCTTACTCTGTTACTTTGCCTTTCAAATAAATATAAATAAATAAACAAACAAACAAACTCAAAGTGATGGAGTGCTTTAAATTCTTACCTCTTTAATTTTTTATACCTAAATGTTCCAAACTACTTTAAATGTATTAAGTTGTTGTTCAAAAATAAGTTATTGAGGGGCAAGTGTTGGGCACTGGTTCAAATCCTGGCTGTTCGACTTCTGATCCAGCTCCCTCTGATGCTTCTGGGAAAGCAGTGGAGAATGGCCCAAGTCCTTGAACCCCTGGACCTGCGTGGGAGACTGGGAAGAAGCTCCTGGCTCCTCGGTTAAGCTTGGTCCAGCCCTGGCCAATGTGGCCATTTGGGGATGGTGGCAGATGGAAGACTTCTCTGTCTGTAACTCTGTCTTTCAAATAAATAAATCATAAAGTAAGTTATTGAATACATCTGCCCCTGAGCCTCCTTAAATGTATAACAATGGAGGGAAAGGGTGGTAATACAACCAGTTAGCCTGATGTTCCGACATCATCATCCCATATTAGAGTGGTAGTTTGACTCCTGGTTGCTCTGCCTCTGATCTGGCTTTCTACCGATGTACTTTCAAGTACTTGGGGCTCTGCCACTCATGTGTGAGACCAAAATGAAATTGCTTGCTCCTGGCTTTGGCCTGACCCAGTCCTAGCTGTTGCAGCCATTTGGGGGATAAATTAGCAGATGGAAGATTCTCATTCTCTCACTCTCTCTTGCACTCTCTAGCTCTTTCTCTCTGGCACTCTGCCATTCAAATAAATACTTTTTTAAGAAATATAAAATAGTGTAATTTATAAATTTTAACATGAAAGAAGGCTAAGGTTGTGGTGCAGTGGGTTGAGTCACAGCCTGCAGTGCTGGCATCTTGTATGAGAGCCAGCTTGAGTCCTGGCTGCTTCACTTGTAATCTAGCTGCCTGCTAATGGTCCTGGGAAAGCCACACAGGATGATTCAAGTGCTTGGACCCTAGCCACCAACATGGGAAATGCTGATGGATTTCTGGTTTCTTGACTTTGGTCTCCCCCAGCCCTGGTCGTTGTAGCTGTTTTGGGGAGTGAGCCAGCAGGTGGAAGATCTTTCTGTCTCTCTCTAACTGTGACTTTCAAATAAAATAGAATAAAATGGGAAAAAATACAGAATTCTTTTATTGTGATTATGTTTAGCATTTACAATTAGACATATAAAATTTTACTGATTGATGTTACATTTTATAAGTATTGAGCAATTCTGTGATATTTCCTTTTGTGTTATATGTACCATACCAACTATAGAGTATGTGCCAATATAAATAAAAATGAAGGAAATAGCGGAATATATTTGGAAGACCTACAATCTAATGGAAAATACTATTTAAACATAACAGTTTTTGTCTTCTCAATAATAACCATTCTAGCTGGGATGAGATAATACCTCATTGTGGTTTCAGTTTGCATTCCCCTGATGCCTAATGCCTGATGATGTTGAACATTTTTCTAAAACTTTGCTGGTCATTTGAATTTTCTTAAGAAATATCTCTTCTTGTAATTTGCTCACTTGAAAATTGGACATTTTGTTGAGTTTCTTTGAGTTCCTTTTATATTCTGAGTATTAAACCTTTGATGCTCAGTTTGAAAATATATTCTCCCATCCTGTCCATTGTCTTCTCACTCTGTCAGTTTTGTTTGCTGTGCAGAACTCTCAGTTTGATATAATCCCATTTGTCTGTTTTTTGCTTTGTTGCCTGTGTTTTGTGCACTATCCCCAAAATGATTACCTATATTTATATCTTGAACTTTTTCACTCTTTTTTCTGGTAGTTTCAACAGTGTAGAGTCTTATGTTTATGTCTCTGATCCATTTTGCATTGCCTTTTGTCTAGATTGAGAGGTAGAGGAAAAGTTTAATTCTTCTGCATGTGTACATCCAGTTTCTCCAATTTATTACAGTGGCTGTCTTCAGGGTTTTTTTTTTTAAATGTCTTTATCGAGAATTAGTTTGCTGTGACTGTGTGGATTCATTTTTGGAGCATCTCTTCTGTTCTATTAGTGTATATGTTTTTTGTTTTTATCAGTATCATAAGTTTTGGTTGCAGTAGTTCTGTAGTGAGTCTTTAAAACAAACAAGGATGTTCTTATTATTTGAAAGGTGGAGGGAGGGAGGGAGGGAGGGAGGAGGGGGGAGAGAGAGAGAGAGAGAGAGAGAACGAGAACGAATGAGCTTTCATTTGCTTGGTCATGTCTCAAATGGCCATTGTAGCAGGGCTGGGGACAGGCTGAAGCCAGGAGCCAGGGACTGCACTTGGGTTTCCCATATTGGTGACAGAAACTGTATTTGAGTTATTGTCCACTGCTTCCCAAGTACATTAGCAAGGAGCTGAATTGGAAGCTGAGTGGCTGGGACTTGAAGGGCACTCTACTATGGAATGCAGGTGACACAAGTGACAGCTTAACTCACTGTGTCAAATTCCCTACCCCTGTAGCATTCTTAAAACCAGGTATTGTAATACCTCCAGATTTGTTCCTTTGTACAGTTTCTTGGGATATTTGCTGACTTTTGTGCTTCCATATAAATTTGAAGATTATTTGCCTAATTCTGAGAGGAATGCCAATGGTATTTTCATGGGTATTGCATTGAATCTGTAAGTGGATAGTACATACATATTTTGACAATATTAATTCTTCTGATCTATGAATATGAGAGGTCTTTTTATCTCTTTGTGTTTCTTCTCTAGTTTCTTTTATCAGTGTTTTCTAATTTCTTAGAAGTCTTTCACATATTGGTTAAATTCATATTTAGGGGGAGTTTTTTTGGTAGCAATTGTAAAGGAGATTTTTTTTATGCTTATGTTCCCAGCAAGTTTGTTATTATATAAAAATTCTATTTTTATATGTTGATTTTGCAATTTGCAACTTTACTAACTTCAGCTATCTGTTCTAATAGTCTTTGGGGGAATATTTGGTTTTTCTATATCTAAAATCATATCATCTGGTAATAGAATCCATTATTCTGGCCTTTTAAAATGCTTTTGGAAGGGTTCCCTCCCTTTCAACTTTTTGGCATAATTTGAGAAAATTTGGTCATCTTTCAAAGTTTGGTAGAACTCAGCAGTGAGGCCATCTGGTCCTGGGCTTCTCTTTGTTGTGAGACTTTTGTTATTGATTCATTCTCAATACTTACTATTGGTCTGTTCAGATTTTCTGTCTTCAGGATTCAATTTTGATAACTTGTATCTGTCTGTAAATTTATCCATTTTTACCTGTTTTGGTACTTGTTGGCATATATTTGCTCATAGGAGTTCCTAATGATCATTTATATTCCTGTGGAATCAGTTCTAATATCTCCTTTTTCAACTCTTATTTTGTTTGAGTGTGCTCTCTCTCTCTCTTGTGTGTGTTTTTTTTAATTAATATAGCTAAAAAGTTTTATCTTTCTGAAAAAGAAGCTCTTTATTTCATTAACCTTTTGTATTGTTTTCTTTATGTCCATTTCATTTATTTCTACTCTGGTCTTTGCTGTTTCTTTCCTTCTACCAATTTTGAATCTGTTTTGGTTTGTTCTTCCTCTTCTAGGTCTTTGAGAAATATCTTTAACTCATGGATTTTAAATCTTTCTATGTTTTTATGATATGTGCTTATTTCTCAACCTTCCCGTTAGTACTAATTACTGTATGTCATAAGTCTTGGTATGTTGTTTTATTTTTTCAAGAAATGTTTGATTTCTTCAAAACAATTGACAGAAGCATGTTGCTCAGTCTCCATATAGTTTTTTTTTTTTTTTTTTTTTGACAGGCAGAGTAGACAGTGAGAGAGAGAGAAAAGTCTTCCTTTGCCGTTGGTTCACCCTCCAAGGGCCGCCGCGGCCAGCGCGCTGCAGCTGGCGCAACGCGCTGATCCGATGGCAGGAGCCAGGTACTTCTGGTCTCCCATGGGGTGCAGGGCCCAAGCACTTGGGCCATCCTCCACTGCCTTCCCTGGCCACAGCAGAGAGCTGGCCTGGAAGAGAGGCAACCGGGACAGAATCCAGCACCCCGACCAGGACTAGAACCCGGTGTGCCGGCGCCGCAAGGCGGAGGATTAGCCTAGTGAGCCGCGGCGCCGGCCTCCATATAGTTTTATAATTCCTAAGGTTTTTTTGCTGGTGGTGGTTTCTAGTTTTATTGCATTACAATCAGAAAAGTTAAGTGATGTGATTTATATTGTTTTTGAATTTATTGAGACTTGTTTTGTGGACTCAGACATGGTCTGTTCTAGAGAATGTTCCATGGATTGATGAAAATATTGTGTTCTGCAACTGTTGGATGAAATGTTCTTTCTTTATTTTTTATTAAATACTTTTTATTTATTTGAGAAGTAGATTTACAGACAGAGAGGGAGGAAGAGAGAGAGAGAGAGAGAGAGAGAGAGAGAGAGAGAGAGAAAGAGTGTCTTCCATCTGCTGGTTCACTCCCCAAATGGCCACAATGGCCGGAGCTGAGCCAATCCAAAGCCAGGATCCAGGAGGTTCTTCCAGGTCTCCCTTGAAGGTGCAGAGGCCCAAGTGCTTGGGTCATCTTCTACTGACTTTCCAGGCCATAGCAGAGAGCTGGATGGTAAGAGGAGCAGCCCGGACTAGAACCATTGCCCATAGAGAATGCCAGCACCACAGGCTGAGGATTAACCTAGGCCACAGCACTGGCCCTGAAATGTTCTTTAAGCATCTTTCAGATCCATTGTAGTGCAGTTCGTCCATAGTATAGTTTCATTCTGATGCTTTGTTGATATTTTTTGTCTGAACAATCTGTCTATTGAAGGAAGGGAGGTATTAAAGTCACTCATTATTACTGTATTGGAGCATATCACTTTGTTTAGAGGTAATAATGTTTGTTTTTAAAAATTGGTGTTTGGCATTAGGTGCAAATGCATTTAAAATTGTCATATCTTCCTGTTGATGTCTTGGTCATACATAGTGATCTTCTTTATTTTTTCCCTTAATATCAGCTCAGTTTGTTTTGTCTGATGTAACTATTCCTGCTTTGTTTTGCATGGAATATTTTTTTTTCATTCTTTTACTTTCAATCTATGTGAATCTTTACTGGTGGAATAAGTTTCTGTTAGGTAGCATATGGTTGGTTACGTTTTTGTAGATATACTCAGTCAAACTTTATCTTTTAATTGGGGAATTCAGTCCATTTACATTCAAAGTTCTTAATTTTTTTTATGCTTCAGTATCTTTTATTCTATCTCTCTTTTCATCTTCTTTGGTTTGGCATAATTACAGAACCATTTTAAGATTTACCTATTTATTTGAAAGGAAGAGTTACATAAAAGGAGAGACAGAGAGAGAGAGAGGTCTTCCATCCATTGGTTCACTAACTAAACGGCCGCAATGGCTGGGGTTGGGCCAGGCCAAGGCCAGGAACCAGGAGCTTCTTCCGAGTCTTCCACATGGATACAGGGGCCCAAACACTTAGGCCATCCTCCACTGCTTTCCCAGACACATTAACAGGGAGCTGGATAGGAAGTGGAGCAGCTAGGACTCAAACCAGCACCCATATGAAATGCTGGCACTGCAGACCCTAGCTTAACCATCTACACTACCTCAGCCCCTGAAGAGGAGGTTGGATCTCTATTATTTACTTACTGTCTGTCTGTTCTTCTAGTGGACTTAGAGTTTCACGTGTTTTCATGATTGCAGTTGTCTTTGCTTCCTGGTGTTTAGGACTCCCTTCAACAGACTGTGTTAGGCCAGTATGGTGGTAATGAATTCCTTTAGTCTTTGCTTGTTTTATTTCTTTTCATTTATGAAGAACAACTTTGCTAGGTACAGTATTCTTAGTTGGCAGCTTTTCTCTTTCAGGAAATACCATCATTCTGTTTCTCCCTCCCTTGTGGGGTTTCTGTTGAGAAATATGTCAGTCTAATGGGGATTCCTTCAGTATGACCTGGCACATTTCTCTTGGAATTTTTTGAGATCTTTGGATTGTACTTCTGAAAATTTTGGCTACAATATGATGTGGTGAGGAGGTCTTGTCCAACTAGGGGCCAACAGTCTTCTGAACCAAGAAGTCCACCAGAAGTCTGTATCTTTGTCAGGATTGAGGAAGCTTTCAACTGTTTATTCCATTGACTAGATGTTGCCATAGGTTTTTCCTTTTCTTCCTCATTGGAGATTTCCAGAATTTGAATACTTGTTCATGTCTTATTGTCCCTAAGGTCTTGAATAAATAATAATTTATTACATGCCAGATAGTCCTCTAAGCACTTTCCATAAGTTATACCCTTTCATGTGAGGGTAGGTTCTGTCATGATCCTTTACTCTAGGTGAGGGAAAGAGACACAGATTATGAAATGGGCACATAGCTGGTGTCAGATATTTGGGTGTGAATCCAGTGGCCTTAACTTATTCTCATAGGATGCCCCTTAAGCTCAATCACTTTACTTTCTTCCATGCTCAAACTATTCTGTGTAATCCTATATATCATGCTGTTAGTATTTTTTTAATCTAAGAGTATTTTTAAAGAGATTTATTTATTTATTGAAAGGCAGAGTTACAGAGAGGTAGAGAGAGAGGGAGAGTGAGAGGGAGGGAGGAGGGAAGGAGGGATGCAGGGATCTTCCATCTGCTGATTCACTCCCTAGATGGCCGCAATGGCCAGAGCTGCATCTATCCAAAGCCAGGAACCAGGAGCTTTTTCTGGGTCTCCTATGCAGGTGAAGGGGTCTAAGGACTTGGGCCATCTTCTACTGCTTACGCAGGCCATAGCAGAGAGCTGGATTGGAAGTGGGGTAGCTGGGACTCAAACTGGCACCCATATGGGATGCTGGTACTGAAGGCTTTACCTGCTATACCACAGCGCTGGGCCCTAAGAGTATTATTTTTTTTTAATAAAAGGGAATTTTGGGGCCGGCGCCATGGCTCACTTGGTTAATCCTCCACCTGCAGTGCTGGCATCCCATATAGGTGGCGGTTCTAGTCCTGGTTGCTCCTCTTCCAGTCCAGCTCTCTGCTGTGGCCCAGGAGGGCAGTGGAGGATGGCCCAAGTGCTTGGGTCCTTGCACCCGCATGGGAGACCCTGGCTCCTGGCTTCAGATCAGCACAGTGCCGGATGTAGTGGCCATTTGGGGAGTAAACCAATGGAAGGAAGACCTTTCTCTCTGTCTCTCTCTCTCACTGTCTATAACTCTACCTGTCAAATAAATTTAAAAAAAAAAGGAATTTTATATGATGTGAATTCAGGATCATGAATGTTAATTTTTAAGGCTGCGTTTATTTGTATCCAAAATTTATTACTTTTAACCCATTTAATTCTTGGAATAGATGTTGCTATTGGAGCTCCACAGGAAGATGACTTGAGAGGTGCTATCTACATTTACAATGGCCGAGCAGACGGAATCTCGCCAACCTTCTCACAGGTAAGATGCTGAGTTCCAGAACAAGCACTGGTAATAATTATAAATAATCCTTAAAACTCAAACTGTTAGTGCAGACTTACTTTTCTTAAACATTTTAATATTATGGTCAAGTAACTGTTTAGTGTTCTATTTTAAGTAATTAATAACTCTTTAAATCATTTTTTCCTAAATGAGTTGGAGTTCACTTCTCCTGTAGCTTGCGTCTATCGTCTGTAAGATTTCCTCTTGTATTTCATCACATTTGTGTTCTGAGGTAATATTCAATACTATTCCAAACAAATCCATTTGGATTTGATTAACTGGCTTGCCTATGGCCGAAGCCCCATATTTCATGAAGGTTGCTAACGGAGATCAAATACATGGAATATTCTGTTTTTCTTTCAGTGGAAAGTAGTAAGATGATAGCAGGTCAGTAGAGTTCCATGATCTAACACTGACTTCACTTTATATTTTGAAAAAATCAGGACACTTAAGTGTTTAGGAAAAAACTGCATGCAGAAAGGAAAGATTTTTCAAATACATCTTTATGGAAACATTATTACTGTTATTTTTGGCCAGGAAAAAATGTACAAATAATTCTCTATATTTAACATGAAAGATATGTACTTATCTACTAAAAATACTGATTATTTTTAGCATGGATAGATGTCTGATATTAATAAATCACTTTCTGGACATGAAATTAGAAACATGGAGTAGGATGCTTTTATCTGACTTCGGTTGTTCTTGTTAAAAGGCAGGAAGCAAACTGCCTAAATAAGTTTGCTTTCATCAAAAGCCCAAGTAGTAGTTTTCACTGAGTGAATATAGACATGTTATTTTCTCAGTTATTTGTTGTTCATGTTGGTTGAACAGGTAAGTACAGAGCCTGAAAAAAATACTTGGAGAGAAGGAGTGAGGATGGTTAAAAAATCTGTGCTACATGATTTTCCCTTTGCACGCAAAGTGAAATATGTTTTTCAGTCACAAGATAGATAACAGTTTTCCATTGAAAACTAGAAAATGTTGTCTCTCTCAGAAGTATTTGACTTAAATGAAATGCATGCTGTTGGTAAATGAGCCAGGAAATTCATGGGAAGGTGTATTATTTAGCTAAATCATTGGTTCTCTGGGCTATTAGGTGTTCAGAAACCTTTTTCCATTCAACTTACCTGTTTTTCAGAGAATTGAAGGGCTTCAAGTCAGCAAATCATTAAGTATGTTTGGACAGTCGATATCAGGACAAATTGATGCAGATAACAACGGATATGTAGGTGAGTGTAAAGTTGACCATATTTTATAAATTGAAATAAACTCTACTTTGGACACTGATTTATTATGAAGCACAGTATGAAAGGCTTCAAAATTCATAAGAAAGCCTTTAATTTACTGATTTTTTGATTTAATTTTTAAAGATTTACTTATTTGAAAGGCAGAATGATGGGGAAAGACAGAGTGAATGAGAGAGATCCTCTCTCTGTAAGTTTACTCTCCTAATGGTCACAATGACCAGGGCTGGGCCATACTGAAGCCAGGAACCAGGTTTCCAATGTGGATAGTAGGGTCCCACGCACTTTGGCCATCTTGTTCTGCTTTCCCAGGACATTAACAGGGAACTGGATGGGAAGCAGAATAGTGGGGACTCAAACTGGCACTCAGACATGGGATGCTGGTGTTGCAAGTGATGGCTTATCCCACTGCCACGATGCTGGTTCTCCTTTCGTTCAAAACTGTTTTCATTTCAAAGATAGGGCAGAAATAATCTAGTAATTCCTTATCTGTACACCTCACTTATTTAATGTTATATTCCTTGTTCTTGAAACCAATGATAATCCGTCAAATATACAAATAAAGAAGAAACTTTTTTACAACATGAAATTTCTTGATGAATGTTTCTAGTCCCAGAAATTGAGTTTTGGTTTAGTAAAATAATCTTCATAGCATATTTTTTTATCATAAAGTTTCTTTAGGTTATATTAGAAAGAAGTGAGTTACTGTAAAACCATTCATGGAAATATAGAATGATTCTTAAGGTGCTAGTCTGGTTTTATTTTTTTACCTAGAAACCTTTTATGTAAGGTACACAAACTTCATGCATTTCATATATACAAATTTGAGACCCTAGTGATTGCTCCTACCGCACACTCCCTCTCACCAGTTCTCCCACTCTTCTTCCTCCTAGTTCTATTCTCATTCTTACTCTTTACAATGATCTATTTTTGGTTAACTTTATACTCATACGATTAACCCTGCACTAAGGTTCAAAAAATAGTATGAAGAAAAAAAACAACCTGTTCCTCAACAATTGAGACATGGGCTGTTCAAAATCATATCTGAAAGTGTCAATTTCACTCCTATAGATTACCTATTAGGTACTCTTATTAGTTACCACATATCAGAGGGGATATATGGTATTTGTCTCTTGGGGACTTGTTTATTTCACTAAGTATAATGGTTTCCAGTTGTATCCATTTTGTTGCAAAAGACAGGATTTCATTTTTTTTGTACTGCTATGTAGTATTCCTTGGTGTACATACACCATAATTTCCTTATCCAGTCTTCTATTGACAGACATCTGGGTTGATTGCACATCTTAGCTATTGTGAATTGAGCTGCAGTAAACATGGGGTACAAATAACTCTTGCATATGCTGATTTCACTTCCTTTGGGTAAATACCCAGGAGTGGAATGATTGGGTCATATGGTAGGTCTATTTTCAGATTTCTGAGGTATCTCAATACTCTCTTCCACAGTGACTGCACCAGTTTACATTCCCATCAACAGTGGAGTAGGGTACCTTTTTCTCCACATTCTCAACATCATTTTTTTGTTGATTTCTGTATGAAAGCCATTCTTCCTGGGGTGAGGTGAAACTTCATTGTGGTTTTGATTTGTATTTCTCTGATGGTTAGTGATCCTGAGCATTTTTTCATGTGTCTTTTGGCTATTTGAATTTCTTCTCTTGAAAATGCCTGTTCAAGTCCTTTGCCCATTCCTTCATTGGATTATTTTATTTGTTGTTGAGTTTCTTTTTTAAACAATTTATTTATTTGAAACCCATAATTAGAGGCAGAGAGAGAGAGAGGGAGGGAGGGAGGGAGGGAGGGAGGGAGGATCTTCCATCTGTTGGTTCAATCCCCAAACAGCCACAAGGGCTGGAGCTGAGCTGATCCGAAGCCAGGAGCTGCTTCTAGGTCTCCCACACAGGTGCAGGGGATCAAGAACTTGGGCCATATTCAGCTGCTTTCCCAGACCATAGCAGAGAGCTGGATCAGAAGTGGAGCAGCCGGGACTCGAACTGGTGCGCATATGGCATGCCAACACTGCAGGCAGCCTGCAACTTTACCCTCTAAATCACAGTGCTGGCCCCATGTTTTTGATTTTCTTGAGCTCTTTATAGATTCTGGATGGTAAACCTTTATCAGTTGCTTAGTTTGCAAATATTTTCTCCCATTCTGTCAGTTGAACCTTCACCTTGCTGAGTGTCTCTTGCAGTGCAGAAGCTTCTCAGCTTGATGTAATCCCATTTGTCAATTTTGGCCTTGAGTGCCTGTGCTTCTGGGGTCTTCTCCAGAGGTATTTGCCTTTGCCAAAGTTTTGCAGGGTTTCCCTAGTGTTCTCTAATTTGATGGTATTGGGCATAGATGTAGGTCTTTGATCCATTTTGAGTAGATTTTCATGTAAGGTGTAAAGTAGGAGTCTTGCTTAATACTTCTGCCTACAGAGATCTAGTTTTACCAGCACCATTTGTTGAAGAGACTACCCTTGCTCCAGGGATTGATGTTAGCTTTGATGGTAGCTCCTTTGTCAAAGATAAATTGGTTGTAGATTTGTGGATTTCTGGAGTTTCTATTCTGCTGCATTGGTCTACAAGTCTGTATTTGTGCCAATACCAGGCTCTTTTGATTATAAATGTGTTGTAGTATGTCTTGAAATCTGGTGTTATGAGGTCTCCTGCTTTGTTTTTATTGTGTAAGATTGCTTAGGTATTTGGTGTCTCCTGTGTTTCCATGTGAACTTCAGCATATTTTCTATCTGAGAAGACTGTCCTTGGCATTTTGATTGGAATTGCATTGAGTCTGTGTATTGCTTTCGGTAGCGTGGACATTTTGTTGATACTGATTCTTCCAGTCCATAAACACGGAAGAATTTTTCCATTTTTTAATGTTTCCTTCTATTTCTTTCTTTAATGTTTTGCAGTTTTCATCATAGAGATCTTTTTGTCTTTTTTTTTTTTTTTTTGACAGGCAGAGTGGACAGTGAGAGAGACAGACAGAATGAAAGGTCTTCCTTTTACTGTTGGTTCACCCTCCAATGGCTGCCGTGGCCAGCACACTGCGCTGATCTGAAGCCAGAAGCCAGGTGCTTCTGGTCTCCCACGTGGGTGCATAGCCTAAGGACTTGGGACATCCTCCACTGCCCTCCTGGGCTACAGCAGAGAGCTGGCCTGGAAGAGGGTCAACCAGGACAGAATTCGGCACCCCGACCGGGACTAGAGCCCAGTGTGCTGGTGCCACAAGTGAAGGATTAGCCTATTGAGCCACAGTGCCGGCCTCATAGAGATCTTTTAAATCCTTGGTTAAATGTATTCCAAGATACTTAATTTTTTGTAGCTTTTGTGAATGGGATTGTTCTTAGAAGTTCTTTCTCAACTTCTTTCCATAAACGCTGTTGATTTCTCTGTATTGATTTTATATCCTGTCACTTTACCAAAGTCTTTTATAGGTTCCAATAGTCCTTATATAGAAACATGTCACCTGCTAATAGGGATAGTTTGACTTCCTCCTTCCAAAATTTATCTATTTGATTTCTTTTTCTTGCCTAAAGGCTCTAGAACTTCAAAGACTATATTGAATAGCAGTGGTGAGATTTTATTTATTTGAGAGGTAGAGTTTAGACAGAGGGAGAGACAGAGAGAGAGAGGTATTCCATCTGCTGGTTCACTCTCCAATTGGCCGCAATGGCCGGAGCTACACTAATCCAAAGCCAGGAGCCAAGAGCTTCTTCCAGGTCTCCCACATGGGTACAGGGGCCCAGGGCCCAAGTGCTTGGGCCATCTTCCACAACTTTCCCAGGCCATAGCAGAGAGCTGGATTAGAAGAGGAGCAGGCAGGACCAGGACTAGAACTGGCACCCATTTGAAGTGATGGTGCCACAGGAAGAGTATTAACCTACTGCACCACAGTGCTGGCCCCAGAATTATTTCTTTTTAAATGTCTGGTAGAATTCAGCAGTGAAGCTGTCTGATCCTGGGCTTTCCTTTGTTGGGAGGGTCTTTATTATTGATTCAGTCTCCGTCTTGGTTTAGGTTTTCTGTATCTTCATGGCTCCATTTTGGTAGATTGTTTGTGTCTAGGAGTCTATCCATTTCCTCCAGGTTTCCTGCTTTGTTGGCAAATGGCTCTTTTTAATAATTTCTGATGATTCTTTTTATTTCAGTGGTAACTGTTGTTATATTTCCTTTTTCATCTCTGATGTTATTTGGGTCTTCTCCCTCTCTTTTTTTGGTTAGTTGGGTAATTGGTGTATCAATTTCACTTATTTTTTCAAAAAACCAGCTCTGTTTTACTGATCTTTTGGTCTTTTTTAGTTTGTTTCCATTGTATTTATGTTTTCTCTAATTTTAATTATTTCCTTTCTCCTACTAATTTTGGGTCTGGTTTGTTGTTTTTCTAGGTCCTTGAGATTCATTGATAGCTCATTTATTTGGTGCCTTTCCTATTTCTTGCTGGAGGCACCAATTGCTATAAACTTCCCTCTGAATACTGCTTTTGTTGTCTCTCATAAGTTTTGATATGTTGTATTGTCATCTCCATTCATTTCCAGAAATTTTTTGATTTCTCTTGATTTCTTCAATGACCCATTGTTTATTCAGGAGCATGTTGTTCAGTCTGCATGTGTTTGCATATGTTCTAGAGACTCTGGAGCTGTTGATTTCCAGCTTCATTCCATTGTGGACAGAGAAGATGTGTGTATGATTTCAAATTTTTGAATTTGCTGAGACTTGCTTTATGGCCTAGCAAGTGATCTATCCTAGAGAAAGTTCCACACACTGGTGAGAAGTGTGTGAATCCTGCAAGCATGGAATGAAAAGTTCTCTAGATATCAGGTCCATTCGGTCTATAGTGTTTAACTCTGCTGATTTTCTGTCTGATTGACCTGTCCATTGCTTAAAGTGGGGGTATCGAAGTCCCCCATTACTATTGTATTAGAGTCTGTGTCTCCATTTGGATCCATTAAAATTTCTTTTAAATAGCCAGGCATCCTGTAATTGGGTATGTATAAATTTATTATAATCACATCTTCCTGTTGAATTGATCCCCTAATCATTACATAGTGCCCTTCTTTGTCTCTTTTAACAGTCTTTGTGCCAATGTCTATTTTTTCTGATATTAAGATGCTTACACTGGCTCTTTTTTCCTTTCTGTTAGCATGGAATATCTTTTTCCATCCTTTCACTTCTAGCCTGCATGCATCTTTGTGGGTGAGATATGTTTCTTGTAGGCAGCAGATAGATGGGTCTTGTTTTTTAATCCATTGAGCCAATCTGTATCTTTTACCTGGAGAGTTGAGGCCATTGCATTCAGGGTGACTATTGATAAGTAATGAGTTGGCCTTGAAATTTTTCCATAAATACTCCTAGTGTTTATTTTGGATTTCCTTTGTATTTTTGCTGGGAGATTTTCTGCCTTAACATTCCTTCATAATGATGGCCATCTCTCTGTGTTTCTGTATGTAGCACATCCTTAAGCATCTTTTTAAAGGCAGGATGAACTGTGACAAATTCTTTCAATTTCCTTTTGTTATAGAAAGTCTTTGTTTTACTTTCATTCAAAAATGAGAGCTTTGCAGAGTACAGCATTCTGAGTTGACAGTGTTTTTCTCTTAAGACTGTATATCTCACTATTCTCTCCTAGCTTATTGGGTTTCTGATAAGAAGTCAGCTGTGAGTCTAATTGGGGATCCTCTGAAAGTAATTTAGCATTTCTCTTTTGCACATTTTAGAATAATTTCCTTATATTTTACTGTGGAAATTTTAACTGCAATGTGTCATGGTGGAGATCTTTTCTGGTTATGTCTATTAGGAGTTCTATGTGTTTCCTGTACTTGGACATCATTTTCTCCAGATTAGGGAAATTTTCTGTAATTATTTCACTAAATAGGCCTTCTAATCCATTTTTTCTTTCCATACCTTCAGAAATTCCTAAGACCCATATGTTTTTAATTTTTCTAATTTCTTATTTTTTTTGGTCTGACTCCAAAATTTTTAACTCAGATATTCTTTATTCTACCTCACTGAATCTGTTGTTAAGGCTTTCCACCACATTTTTTATTTGATTTATTGAATACTTAATTTCTAATGCTTTTCATTTTGGTTTCTCTTTAAAATCTCAACTTCTTAGGAAAAAATTTCATTTATGTCATGTATTGAATTATTTAATTTGTGGATTTGCTTCTGATTGCTCATGAGTAATCCTATGATTAATCTTTTGAATTCCATTTCAGGCATTATATCTATCTCTCCGTCTTCACATTCTAGTATTGAAGTGTTGTTGTATTCCTTTGGGGATATCATGTTGTCTTCCTTATTCTCATTTCTTGAATTTCTGCATTTATTTTTAGCCTGTGTGGAAATAATTGTTTTTCCTCCTCTAATGGCTTTTATCTTCAGACTAATCCTCTGTGGCTTAGTGGAATGTCTGCTCTTTGAGTGAATACCAAGAGGCTTGTGCAATGTGTGGCCAGGGAGCTCTGGTCAGTGCTCCAGGGTGAGGGGAATGTCCAAGGTGACACTGCTGTTGGGCTTAATAGATCTCTTTAGTTTATCAGAGGGGAAGGTTTAATCAGCACAACTGGCATAGTTTCACCCTCTCTTCCCCCTCCTCCAAGGTTACCAATGCCCAGGTGCTAGCCTCAGTGTGTGAAATATTCATCACCAATGCCACAATAACCACACAAAGGACCTGTGCAGTCCTCAGTGTGAGCATGTATCCTGTTGCAATAACCCACCCCAGGCAATCAGGGAGCCTGGAGTATATGGAGCCATCACAGTGACTGCCCAGTGACACAGACACACCCTGTACCCTCCCAGGCAGTCAAAGTGTTTCCACAGTCCCAACACACAAGGCTCCCACAGTCATGGGGCTCCAAGGATCACTTTGACCCTGCCAGTCCGTGCTGTCCATAGAGGCAGAGATGCTCCCAGAGCCAGCTGCCTCTAGGTACTCTGCCTAGGCAATATGAGCACCACAGAGCCTGTGACATGCTGGGAGGCAGGGGACACCTGGCATTCCTATGTAGGAGCCCATCCCCATCAACCCCCCAGCCAGAGTCTGGCATCTGCTCTCGGCCGGTTGCTGGGCATGTGGACACAGGCTGGTGCAGCTTTTACAATGTCCAAAATGGGGCCCACCCTCTCTCATCCAGTTGCAGGGCACGGTTGTCAGGGGGATGAGGAGAGACAAGCATGCCCCTTTTCTTCCTCTGGGTTGGTAGGTACGCTGTTCCTCACCAGGCTTCAGGCAGAGCTCATGCCAGGCTCTCCCTCCAGCTCTGTTGCCAGTGGCTAGGGCTGCTGCAAGCTGGTCTCACCTCATTCTCCAATGCTGATGCCGAGGCTCTCGGCTTCTGGAGTTCTTTGTTGTGTCAGTGCTCATGCTGTATGTCCACACCCTCCACCTAGAGCCACAGTGTCCCTCTTCCTTCTGTGGTGTTTCCACTACAGTTTTCTCCCTAACTCTCCCCTGAGATTTCATTCTCTCCACTTTTTTTAAACTATATTCCCCTAGCTTGGAGCAGTAGTTGTTTCCCTATTCCACCATCTTGGCATCTTCTCTATGTTTTCTAATTAATTTTCTGTAAATATTTTTTTGATACAGTCAGAAGGTGACATGTAGTCAAGTATTTATGGCTGAAAAGTAATTCTCTTTGACTAATGATGATCATTAATCTGTGTTGTGGTCTCTTATCCTCCAGATGTAGCAGTTGGTGCTTTTCGCTCTAATTCTGCTGTGTTGCTAAGGTAGGGTTTATCAGTTTCACTGCTTAATGACAATTGGGCTTAATTGTAAATGATGGGAGGCAGGTTTTAAAATCAGCGATGATGGTGGCCTCATAATGCTGTTTTGGTATTCTGATGCTTAATTATTGAACTTCAGGATTTTTTCCCCATGTTACACAGATATAATTAAACAAATCATCAAAGAATGTCAATATTTTAGACATTTAAATGAAATTTTCTTTTGATCCATGCACAGAAATGTAATTGAGTATGAATGCATATTATCATACTATTAATAAAGCAGATTCATCAAATTACTTTGCTAATGAGAACTGACAAATACAGCTGTCTTCTTAAAGAAAAATAATATTGCAATTAATATTACTAATTTTCTTTCTTAGGACCAGACCTGTAGTGATTGTTGATGCTTCTTTAAGACACCCAGAGGCAGTAAATAGAACAAAATTTGATTGCATTGAAAATGGACTGCCTTCTGTGTGCATTGATCTAAAACTTTGCTTCTCATATAAAGGCAAAGAGGTTCCAGGCTATATTGGTAAGTTGCCATGTGAAATGAATGTCTGAAAGAGCATGCATTTCATTCACTGTCTTTTTTTTCCCCCATGGAAGTCTTCTTTGGGGCAGGAGAAAGCAGCCACTTGATAAGCACCTTTCCAGATCCTTCTTGCTGTTTTAGCCAATGATTGAGGCACATCAGAAGGCTACAGTTGTCTAAAGATTATGACAGGAGGCAAAACTAGAGTATCACTTGCTTTGTTAGTTTAAGAAAAACCAACTTGAGCTTTATCTGTGTATTCTTTTCAAAATATAAAGTACATTTACACACCTCAGTTTCACGGATGTCTTGAAAATCTGGAGCTGACTTAAGCTTAGAGGAAGACCTAAGAGGAAGAAAATTCTTTTCTTCATGTTCTCTTATGTTTGAATAATAGAAAAAGCTTATCTGGAGTCTAGTCTCTGATTCTAATTTATACAAATAATATACACCTCCTAATTTACTGCAAATTGCTCCTCATGAGGACTGTACCCATTTCCCAAGTAATAAAAATACAACCTCAATTCCACAATGCATTAAAAGCGTTATTCACCATGATCAATTTGGATTTATCTCATGATGCAAAGATGGTTTGACACATGCTGATTTTATTTGTAAGTGTGATACACCACATTAAATGTATGTTTAATGAAAACATAAAATAATGTGATCATTTCAATAGTGCAGAAGATTATAAGTTCTAAACATTAGATATTGAATGTATGTACCTCAGCTTAATATAAGCCATATGTATAAAACCAACAACTAACATCATAATAAAATGGGAAAAGCTCAAGATTTCTCAAAACAAAACAAGATGTCCACTTTCACCACTTTTATTCAGTATCGTAGTGAAAATCCTTCCCAGTACAATTAGGCACGATGAAATAAAGAACATCCAAACAGGAGAGAGGAAAATCAAATTTTAAGTGTTTGCAAACATCTTTCCACATGTAGGAAACCCAAAGACTCCACCAAAACCTATGTGAATTAACAAATGAATTCAACAAAGTTGTGGAATACAAAGTCAACCTACAAAAATCAGTAGCAATAACGTGTATCATCTAAAATTGTGGTTAATTTCAAATCACATATGTGATTTTTATAAGCATTATGTGTATGGAAACAGATTACTGTTTCTAATTATGTTACAGTTTAGCTAATAATATGGACTAATAATAGATCTAGAGGAATTAGGTCATGGTAGAAGAGAAGGAAACCTGGAATTATCATTTGGACATTAATTATTCACAAAATCAACATCCCTAAAAGACCTATCAAGTTGATTATACCAATTACCTTTGAGGCTGCTCTCAACTACACATCACAAAGGGCAGTAAGTACTTCCTGAATTAAATTATGGATATGTCAAAGAGGTCTCAGTCTGAATTAACTTATAATGAAACATACAGAATTGAGCCTAGTATCTCCATTTTAGATCTGACTCAATTTTATTAGTTATATGGAGATTTTCTGGCCAGAGCTGCAGTGATAAAAGGGTGTAAGCAAACCCTTCATTGAGTTTTTGATTTGAGAAGCAACAGATTAGGAGCATGACCCCTGAGTGAATTACCCTTTAACATAGATGTGCTGATTGAGGTCATGTTGAATAGATAGGGCTTGTTTCCCCTTATGTAAAACCAGTGTTTACTATCAAATCCATTGCGATCAGATACTTTTTTTTATTTTAACTTTTATTTAATAAATATAAATTTCCAAAGTATAGCTTTTGGATTATAGTGGTTTCCCTCCCCTCCTTAACTTCCCTCCCACTCGCAAACCTCCCATCTCCCGCTCCCTCTCCCATTCCATTCATATCAAGATTCATTTTCACTTATCTTTATATACAGAAGATCAATTTAGTATATATTAAGTAAAGATTTCAACAGTTTGCACCCACACAGAAACAGAAAGTATAAAGTACTGTTTGAGTATTAGTTATAGTATTAATTCAATCCCACTTCCCATGTTGGATCGTTCTCTACTTTTTAACTCTATCAGTTAGTATTAGCAGACACTAGTCTTGTTTATGTGATCCCTTTGACTCTTAATCCTATCATTATGATCAATTGTGAACTGAAACTGATCACTTTGACTAGTGAGATGGCATTGGTCCCTGTCACCTTGATGGGATTGAATTAGAATCCCTTGACACGTTTCTAACTCTACTATTTGGGGCAAGTCCGATTGAGCATGTGCCGAACTGTACATCTCCTCCCTCTCTTATTCCCACTCTTATATTTAACAGGGATCACTTTTCAGTTAAATTTAAATACCTAAGAATAATTGTGTGTTAATTAAAGAGTTCAACCAATAGTATTAAGTAGAACAAAAAAATACTAAAAGAGATAAAGTATTAAGTTGTTCATCGACAGGACAAGGGCTGATCAAGTCACTGTTTCTCAGTGTCCATTTCACTTCAACAGGTTTCCTTTTTGGTGCTCTGTTAGTTCTCACCAATCAGGGAGAACATATGATATTTGTGCCTCTGGGATTGGCTTATTTCACTCAGCATGATGTTTTCCAGATTCCTCCATCTTGTTGCAAATGACCAGATTTCATTGTTTTTTACTGTTGTATAGTATTCTATTGAGTACATGTCCCATCATTTCTTTATCCAGTCTACTGTTGATGGGTATTGAGGTTGATTCCAGGTCTTAGCTATTGTGAATTGGGCTGCAATAAGCATTAAGGTGCAGACAGCCTTTTTGTTTCCCAATTTAATTTCCTTTGGGTAAATTCCAAGGAGTGGGATGGCTGGGTTGAATGGTAGGGTTATATTCAGGTTTCTGAGGAATCTCCAGACTGACTACCATAGTGGCTTTACCAGTTTGCATTCCCACCAACAGTGGGTTAGTGTCCCTTTTTCCCCACATCCTCGTCAGCATCTGTTGTTGGTAGACTTCTGAGTGTGAGCCATTCTAACTGGGGTGAGGTGAAACCTCATTGTGGTTTTGATTTGCATTTCCCTGATTGCTAGTGATCCTGAACATTTTTTCATATGTTTGTTGTCCATTTGGATTTTCTCTTTTGAAAAATGTCCATTGAAGTCCTTGGCCCATCTCTTAAGTGGGTGGGTTGTTTTGTTGTTGTGGAGTTTCTTGATCTCTTTGTAGATTCTGGTTATTAATCCTTTAACTGTTGCATAGTTTGCAAATATTTTTTCCCATTCTGCTGGTTGCTCGTCACTTTCCTGACACGTGGCTGAATTCGTCCCAGAGGCGTAAGCTATTTCTAAAATACACATGAACATCTCAGGAACTATATATGTTATTTTTAAGGAACTATACAAATTCTTAAAATATCACTTATTAATGCTATGTAAAATGAGTGATACCTCAATAGACTACTAGATTCAGCTTGCTTTGCAAATAATTTGTTTAGATTCAGGAAATAGTTTTCATTTTCTTGGCAAGTTCTGGCTGGAAATTTTTTGTTTGCTTTAAACATTTTACTTTTTGCTTATTTGAAGATTTTCCTTAGCAGATGAATTTTTTTAACTTTTATTTAATGAATATAAATTTCCAAAGTACAGCTTATGGATTACAATGTCTTCCCCCCCCATAACGGCCCCTCCCACCCACAACCCTCCCCTTTCTCACTCCCTCTCCCCTTCCATTCACATCAAGATTCATTTTCAATTCTCTTTATATACAGAAGATCAGTTTAGCATACATTAAGTGAAGATTTCAACAGTTAGCAGATGAATTTTACTATGTCATATTTGAAATAAACCCCATCACACTTGAGAGAATGTCTGTATTTAATTTTTTTTACACTAATGAACACTAGAAGGGCATCCTAGAAATGCAGAAAACGTAGGGGGAGGACCTGTAATCAAGGTATAGGGCTAGAAAGAAGACATTTTCCCCTCATTATTTATTTCAGACACAGACTGACAGGACTGTCATATGGTGGTTCACTCCTCAAATGCTCATCATATCCAGTGCTGGGCCATGGCCAGACTCAGCAGTTAGGCACACAGTACACATTTCCCATGTGGGTTCCCAGTTCCTTGAGTCATTACTGCTGCCTATACTGGGTCTGCATTGGTGGGAAGCTGGAGTCAGGAGCTGGTAACAAAAATTGAACCCAGGTTCTTCAGTGTAGCACAGAGCATTTTAACTGCTAGGCTAAATGCTTGTTCCCAAGAAGATGTTTTTGAGTAAAGCATACAGGTTTTACTTTATATATCAAAACTTAAAAGGAAAATCTGAGTTCACTTTATATTAAAAGAAAACTAGCAAACCTTCAAATCAGAAACAAATAAAAATAAATGAACCTAATTATATCCAATCAGTTGCATAACCACACAAGAGAAAATTAGTCCAAAAAATGTTTGAACACAGTACTCCTACTTCCTCAGTCATTTGTTTTAAGGGCAAAAATGACTAAAGAATAAAAATATATTAAATATTAATAATAAAATGAAAAAAAACAATCTGAAGTTTTCCTGAAAATTTTTATTAGTGATAATTATATATTGTTTTAAAGCTCTCTTTTTTAAAAAGATTTTGCTCTTTATTTGAGAGGTAGAGTTACAGAGGGAGAGGCAGAGAGAAAGGTCTTCTATCCATTGGTTCACCACTCCAACAGCTGGAGCTGGGCCAATCCAAAGCCAGGAGCCAGGAGCTTATTTCAGGTCTCCCATGTGGGTGCAGGCTGAAGCACCTGGGCCATGTTCTACTGCTTTTCCAGGTCATACCAGAGAGCTGGATTGGAAGAGGAGCAGCCAGGACTTGAACTGGCACCCTCATGGGATGCCGGTGTCACAGGTGAAGGTTTAGCCTACTGTGCCACAGTGCTGGACCCTTAAACTTTGATATATAAGCAAATAACTAAAGATGTTAGTATTAATAGAAAACTAAAGAAAAATTTTTACATTCTTCATTACATATAAAAATAATTTTTCTTTTTGAAATTTACATTTTTAGTTGTTCCCTGTTTGATGTTTCAGATTAATTTTTAAAAACTATTTAATAAAGAAGAGTTAATGTTTTCAATATTCTATATAAATTTGACTATTACCACTTTAAAACAATAAAGCAAATGTGCATAGGTAATTGATTATGTACAATTTTTTACTTTTTTGCAGTTTTGTTTTATAACATGAGTTTGGATGTGAACAGAAAGGCAGAGTCCCCATCAAGATTTTATTTTTCTTCCAATGGCACTTCTGATGTGATTACAGGAAGCATACAAGTATCGAGCAAAGCTACTAACTGTAGGACGCATCAAGCATTTATGCGGGTAAAGTACAGTATTTTATTAATGAATTTATAAGCTTCAATATTGTCAATACAATAAACTGTCATGTTGGTATCTTTTTATATAATGTGTTAAAAACAGGGTCCCTAATGATCCATTGTTCCAAAGAATTAAGCAATCCCAACCTGGGTAATTCAAAGCTCATGTCTTTGCCTCATCTTTATTTCACATCTGTCACATTTGACAGTGTTACTACTTGGAAATATCAGCATTTTGCTTTCTACAATTGCTTTTTTCCTAGCGCTGCTTGCTTATTCACTTGCCTGGAATTGTATATATTGAGTAGCTTCGAGCTTGACTCTGTCCCATAGTAGTCCTTGGGGGGTCGAGGGAGGCGGGGCAGTTGGTTGGTTTTTCATAGGATCCAATGAAGCAGACTCCCACATGACTGCTCTTGGATGGTGTCCTTGTGTATGCGCCAGCTTTCTCACTGATGGCAGTGGGAGCTTGCACAGTTGTAGCATGGTGGGGATCATCTGTGGGCCAGGACAACAGCTCTCATGATGGTTTGGAGTATGTCTTGCCAAAGCACAGGCGATTTCATGTTTCCTTTATTAAAACACTCCCAAACTGATCATCATGCTCCTCACATTGGTCAAATTTGATCATACGAAGCAGTGCCAAGTCTCTTTCATTAGGGAATGGTGTACTTCATCAGAAAATCTATTGTCATGAAAAAGCCAAACTATTCCCAAGAGCCCTTTCTGGGATTTCAAACAGTAGCCTCAGCTTAGAACTTAATTTTCCCTTAGATACTTAGTCTAAGCTAATACAAACAAGCGTCAAGAGTCCAGTACACTATTAAACGCTATGAGCAATAATCCCCAAACTATTTCCTCGTTACTCTGAACAAGTTTTATTGTAAAACTAGAATAATAATTTAGATGGTTCAGAGCCAAAAAGATAGGAGGATATTAATGTACCCATCATTTGTATGGTAGGGATTAAAGAAACCCTTTTCTTTTCATCCTTCATAGATCTGAGTTTACTTACATTTTTTGATTTTAAAACCAAAATTGAGAGCGTTTTGAAGGCAATAACAAGGCCATAATTAGATGTTCACAGAGAAACACATTGTTCTGAGTTTGTAAAAATGAGAGCAAATCGATATGGTTTATTTAGTCCTGTGTTTTTTGGCATTGTTCCTTTGACTAAGGAATCATCAAAATTGTACCTCTTCAGAATCAATGTGGAGTAGAAGCTGGAATTTACTAGAGGTTTCTGTGTATTGTCTCACAGACACAGTATGACCTAATGGTAATAGTAATGACACTTCTATGCTTCTACAGTCTGAAAGCACAGGACGGCAACCTGAATCCTCCTCTCTTCCTAATAATAGTAGCAAAGACGCTATATAGCTGTCAAGATGCCTGGATCATTCCTGTGTTCTGTAACATGTGTCCAGTGTCAAGAATATTAAATACACGTGCATTTCACCTGTGTGCCTCATAATGAGAGGAGATGACGTGTGTTGATTGTGTGCTCAGGCCTACAGCCCCCATCTGTCAGAAGACTCCTTGCCTGCTACTTGGGCATGTTTTACTTGCCATACTAATTGGGCCCCACTTACCCACTTACTCAATTCAGTAGGTATTTATTTAGTACTTAAATAGAAACAGCTTCTGTTTCAGACACTTTTATGTAACAGTGACTAGAACAAAAAGGTTGCTACCCTCATGGAACTTGTAGTCTAGTGGGGTGAGATAAACAGTAATATGTCTTTAAACATTCAGTGGTGTAGTATTTTGGTGGATGATATGGGTGATGGTGGAATGAGAAAGGGCAAGAGGTTCCAGGAGAGTTTGAGGAAAGCATGAGCGGTACAATTTTAAATTGAGTGGTTGGAGTAGGCCTCATCTTAAAGATGATATCTGAGCAAAGACTAAGGGAAGTGAGGCAGTCACCTGGGTAGATTTCTGGGCAGTGGTTCTCAACTTCATGTGCAACAGCAGCACCTGCAGAATTTTTTAAAAGCAAATTGTTGGGCCCCCGTCCAGAGTCCTGACTAGTGGGTCTGCAGTGAGGTTTGAGAGTTTGTGATTCTGCTACTTCCTGAGGTGTTGTCCATGCTGCTGGCTACTCTGAAAACCCCTGTCCTAGGGACGGGGCTTCACAGTGAGAATGATGGATAAAAATGCCTCAAGACTGGAAGGTGTCTGGTTACTTTAAGAAACAAGGGAGAGGTGATGATAGCTGGGAAAGTGACCAAGGTAAAGAGTAGTGGAAAACAAGTAATCTTATACAGAATGGGTGGCTTTTTCTTTGAGTAATATTGTGATCTGTTGTAAAGTTTGGGGCAGAGAAGTTACACAATCTGACTTGGTTATAAAAAGGAGCACACCAGCTGGCGCCGAGGCTCAATAGGCTAATCCTCCACCTGTAGTGCCAGCACACTGGGTTCTAGTCCCAGTCGGGGTGCCGGATTCTGTCCCGGTTGCCCCTTTCTCTGTCTCTCTCTCTCACTGTCTACTCTGCCTGTCAAAAGAAAAAAAAAAAAGGCGCACACCAATGGCTGTGTCTCCCGCCTGTCGCTCCCCCACTCACAGAGGAAGGACACTAGACCCTGCGCTGTTCTTTTGTCTGCTCGGCCCTTCCCGGGTTTGCTGCTGGTCCTTCCCGGGTTGGCTGCCGATCCCTCCACCTCCGTGGAAGGGCGGTTCCCCCTGCCACTTTCCCCGCTTCCACGGAGGAGCGGCACACCGCCGGCCGGCTCTCTCGGGGGCTGCTCAGGTGTTCCTTCAGATAGATGTTCCTGGTGCATGTTGTCTCTCTCCTCCTTTATAGTCCTCTTCCACCAATCCATGCTCTGCTGCCCACACGCCGAGCACGCTGCTCTCCTCCAATCAGGAGCAGGATCAGCTCCTGCAGCTCATCAGTCAAATGGGCGAGAGGCAGCTGCGTAGAAGTTTTACTCCTCCCCAGCGCCATATTGTGGGAGAGCAGATGCATAGAATAAGTCTTAATTCCAGTAACTCAGTCTAGTCTCAGTTGCTCCCCACACCCGCCATTGGATGTCGCTCCCCGTCTTCGTGGGGGAACGACACAAGACCCTGCGCTGTTCTTTCGTCTGCTCGGCCCTCCCCGGGTTTGCTGCTGGTTCTTCCCGGGTTGGCTACTATCCCTTCCACCTCCGTGGAAGGGCAGTTCCCCCTGGCCACATTCCCCACTTCCGCAGGGGAGCGGCACACCGCCGGCCGGCTTTCTCGGGGGCTGCACAGGTGTTCCTTCAGCTAGATGTTCCCCTTAGATGTTCCCGGTGCATGCCGTCTCTCTCCTCCTTTATAGTCCTCCTCCGCCAATCCTAACTCGGCTGCCCACAAGCCGAGTACGCTGCTCTCCAATCAGGAGCAAGTCCTACAGTTTATTGGTTGAACTGGAGGCAGCTGTGCAGAAGCTGTTTACTTCTCTCCCAGCGCCATATTGTGGGAGAGCAGATGCATAGAATAAGTCTTAATTCCAGTAACTCAGTCTAGTCCGGTTGCTCCCCACAATTGGATATGTGGCATTGAGAAAGGGTGTCTCCAACATCTGTAGCCTAAGCAACCAGAAGAAGATGGTTTTCATCTATTGAGACAAAATATTGCAAACTGTCTTGGAGTGAAAAATTCTGGAGTTCAGTTTTAAACCTGCTTAGCCGAAGAGACCTTTTTTACCTTCAGGTGTAAATGTCAGTTATACCCTTGTATATGTACTCCTCTGGAATTGGACATAGAACTGGAAATGAAACGATTTATCTTTGGTATGTGTCTGGTTATATCTTGCTATAAAATTTAAATCTTTAAAATCTTGTTGTAAAACTTAAACCTTTAAAAATAATTCTCTTCTAATCACACATTCTCCAGTTTCATGTTAGGTCTTGGCATATAAGGTGACATTTGTAACTGATAAGCTTTACATCACTGGCATATTTTCCTGAGACTGACTATATTTTCATTACTTTTGTAGGCAGGTGTATGAGTTTTCTCAAGTCTACTCATATTTAAAACAATGACATATAGAATTATTTTACTTGAATGGTTGAATTTTATTCCTTATGAAACATAAAGGAAGAAAGAAATTTTTTTTTTTTTTATTTTATTTTTTTATTTTTTGACAGGCAGAGTGGACAGTGAGAGAGAGAGACAGAGAGAGAAAGGTCTTCCTTTGCCGTTGGATCACCCTCCAATGGCCGCCGCTGCAGCCGGCGCACCGCGCTGATCCGATGGCAGGAGCCAGGATCCAGGTGCTTTTTCCTGGTCTCCCATGGGGTGCAGGGCCCAAGCACCTGGGCCATCCTCCACTGCACTCCCGGGCCATAGCAGAGAGCTGGCCTGGAAGAGGGGCAACCGGGACAGAATCCGGCGCCCCAACCGGGACTAGAACCCGGTGTGCCGGCGCCGCAAGGTGGAGGATTAGCCTATTGAGCCACGGCGCCGGCTCGAAATTTTTTATTTTGGTTTAAAAACTACATTGTTTTTCAGTGGTTCAATTACACCAAACTTTAGCTTATGCTATTAGAGCCACAGATTTATTGGATTTTGCTAAAGCATAACCTAGAACTTAGATGTGAGAGTTCACAAAAGGTTTTAAGGGCAATGAATATTTTTGTACAACTTAAACTATGCATCTGTGCAAATCCTCTCCTCTTAGACATTACTTTTTCCTGTATGAAAAGTAGTTTTCACCTGCCATATAACTATATGAAAATGAATCTTTTTCTTTGCTATATTCAAATATACAACTTTATTAGATCCTAGAGATTTCTTAGGTCAAGCGATAACATTGTGGTTGTTTTGAATTACGAAAACCCAGACAATTTGAAAAAGTTTATAGAAATGTTTGTGAATCTTCTCTTGAGATTTTGGTTTTTGACAGTTTTTATTTATTTATCTTGTAAGGCATAGAAACAGATCTGTTGAGTCATTCTCCAAATTACCACTAGATTTGGGGTTGGGCAAAGCCCAATCCAAGTTATTGGAATTCAATCCAGGTCTTTCACTGGG